CCCCTGTCAGAGTGCAGACGCAGGACTGGGAAGTCCTGCTGAAAGCGCTCGTGCAGCTGGAGACGAGTAGCACGGATCCAGGGGATCAAAACACCGCTGACGTCCGCCTTGCGACGCAAGGGGAAGACTGTGGTGTAGCGTGTGTAGTCGTCAACAACCAGGTCCGTCCCACCGACGGGGGCCGGGCCCCACACGTCCAGGTGGAGAGTCTTCAGAGGAGCAGTGGTCAGAGGAAACTCGGAGGAGTGAGGAGCGGCGCGCTGCCGCCCCTCGACGCAAGGAAGGCACGGCGGCGCAAGTGAGCGCGGGAGGGGGGGCAGGGTCTCAGGGAGGCCAAAGACCAGGAGCCGGGAGTGCATGCCGCGCAGACGCTGCAGGGAGGGGTGACCAAGTCGGTGGTGCCAGCGCTGAGTCTCGTGCGTGAGTAATCTGCACGAGCAAGACGCAGCTAACTGCCCCGACGCAGACGCCCGACTCGACGCAGCCACCTGACCTGACTCAGCCACCTGTGCAGACGCAGTGGTCAGTGTGTACAGACTAGACACAGGCTGTCGAGTGAACGTAGCCAGGTGACGGCCAGTCCGGGAGCACGTACAGATCGCCACACGCTGCCCTCCAGGAATAAAGGTATCAACCCAGACATCCTGAATGGCAGCGTTGCTCACCAAGTTCGTCGAGAACGTGGGGAGGTGGAGACCTGACAGAGAGCCGGAGGGGACTGCTGGAGAAGGGAGGACCATGGAGGCTCTCGCATCCACTGGGCCCCCAGAGGGGTCAGCCAGTGAGACTAGGACAGGTGCTGTGAGTGGTGTGACTGTGGTGCAATCACGAAAGAAGCAACGTGACGCGCCTGAGTCAAGCGTGAAAGTGTGCAAGACCTCAGCTGAGGCAGGACCTGTGGTAGTAGACGCACTAGCACCTAGAGCTTCGGCAGACTCACGGGCACCTAGAGCTGCAGCAGACTCACTAGCACCTGGAGCGGCAGCAGACTCACTAGCACCTGGAGTGGCAGCAGAATCACTAGCACCAAGAGCAGCAGTCTTAACAAAACGATAACCTCCACCACCAGGACGGCCTCGCTGAATAACCCACTCACGAAGCTGGTGAGGGGTGGGGTCGTCCGGGAGAAGCAGTGCCCGCTGCTGTCCACCCCTGGCCGCAACAACTGCCGCGTAAGTGGCCATGACAGACAGTGACGGTCAGGAGTAGGTCCAGCACCTCCAGCTCCTACAGCACCAGCAGCACCTCCTGCACTCCCAGCAGCACCTCCACCAGCAGCAGCAGTAGCACGAGTAGCAGCAGCAGCAGTAGTAACAGCAGCAGGGCGGTTCGGTGGGGCTGGGCGGCCGCACCTCCACCACTCCCAGCAGTACTTGCTCCAGCAGCAGCAATAGAACGAGCAGCAGCAGTAGCAGTAGTAGTAGCAGGGCGGCTCGGGTTGGGTAGGGCGGCTCGGCTCGGCGTGGGCGGCGCGGCTCGGGCTGGGCGGCGCGGCTCGGCAGGGCGGCGCGCGGGCTGCAGGGGCAGGACGCACGGGCTGCAGGGGCGGTGCGCGGGCTGCAGGGGCGACGCGCGGGCTGCAGGGGCGCCGCGCGGGCTGCAAGGGCAGCTCGTACGGGCTGCAGGGGCGACGCGCGGCTCGGCAGGGCGACGCACGAGCTGTAGGGGCGACGCGCGGGCTGCAGGGACAGCACGAACGGGCTGCAGAGGCGGCGCGCGGGCTGCAGGGGCGACGCGCGGGCTGCAGGGGCTGCGCGCACGGGCTGCAGAGGCGACGCGCGGCTCGGCAGGTCTGCGCGCGAGCTGCAGGGGCAGCGTGAACGGGCTGCAGGGGCGGCGCGTGGGCTGCAGGGGCAGCGCGCACGGGCTGCAGGAGCAACGCACGGGCTGCAGGAGCGACGTACGGGCTGCAGGAGCGACGTACGGGCTGCAGGGGCAGCGCGCGGGCCACAAGGGCAGGCACGGCTGCAGGGGCAGCACGGTCGCAGGGGCGAGCACGGCTGCAGGGGCAGCACGGTCGTAGGGGCGAGCACGGCTGCAGGGGCAGCGCGGTCGCAGGGGCAGCGCACGGGCTGCAAGGGTCGCGACAGTGAGAGCTAGGGGCGCCAGCGCGCTGGCTACTGTGTAGGGCGTGGCGCTACCACTAGGCGGAACGGTGGGCCCATGTAGGAACGGTTCCTACTCTGATAACATGTCAAGAATAGAACTAGGAATGAATGAGTGAACTAGGCAAGAGATGAGTACAAGTAGGGGAAACCTAACCCTAAAGTGTTGTACTCACTAAGGAGTGACCCTACTGTAGCCTAGAGATACAATTGTAATTTGACAAGGATTACCAGATGCACTGTTCATTACCATTCGGGCAATAATGTTGACCATCTAGGCATAATGGTTACCACGGTGGCGAAGAGAGGATACCTTTGTTACGATATGGACACGTGGCTCACCTCGGGTGCGATCGAGCCCAATGTGTGTTACCGCGGAGGTAAATGCCCGAAAGGAAATGATGCGGCAATCCCAAGGTTGTGCCAGGCATGGCGGTTTGAGCGACACGTGGCGAAGTAGTTACCTGAGATCGAGAGCCAAATGAGAGAGAATTGCTCCAGAACCTTGTTTGGTGATTCGGTCTTGCCCATGTGGCCTCGAATTGCTCGCGTGGCCATCCAATTCAGTGATAATTGCTCGAGTGGCCACGCCAGGGGATTTTCGAAATGTTTAGTTTCCCCAGCACATTACCCTACAAGAGTTTGTATCCCTGAAATTACTCGTTCGCACGAGTCTCATCCCGCGGTAGTGTTTCGTACTATTACCCACCCAAAATTTCGGGTGGGTGGCAGTCGCGAACGTGGCCCACTCACTGTACAACAAATCGACAAATAGGCACGACCAAAAGTAGATGCGCGCTCAATTTCGGCCAAATGCGCGACCAATGAGCGCTCGGTCAAACAATTTCATAACCAATAAGCGCTCGAGCATATAAATTCGCGGTCATAAACTTCAATTGACGAGCATCAAACCGCAACAGCCCTAACGACCGCGCATGATTCGTCAATAATATGCGCGGTGCAATTGTTTAGATTGCGCGTCCAATCAGGTGCCATCATTAAGGATTTCGACCATATTTGACCGCGCAAATAGTAGCGCGGGATGAGACTCGTGCGAACGAGTAATTTCGGGGATACATACCCTTGTCGGGTAATGTGCCGGGGAAATAAAACACTTCGAAAATCCGCTGGCGTGGCCACTCGAGCAATTATCACTGAATTGGATGGCCACGCGAGCAATTCGAGGCCACGTGGGCAAGACCGAATCACCAAACAAGGTTCTGGAGCAATTCTCTCGCCAAATGAGAGTCGCATGGGCAACTCTGTTCCCTTTTTTGAATGATTTGACATTCTTCTTTAGACGTTTTAATGTTTGTAATTTATGACGAGAATGTACATATCAACAATTAACATTGAAATCGCTTTATTGGCACCATAATTTTTTTGTTGCAGCTACTTTATTACTTAAGTGCCCCCCGTAGACATGCCCTGCCTTGTAGTGGTTTCACTGGTTCAATCCAGGTGACTGATCAATTGCCCGCTGCTTCTACACCACAACCCTTGGTATCCACCTCTTCTTTCTTAGTCCTGCTTTCCCCCATTCACCTGGCTATCTTCTTTGCATTTTACACTGTTGACCAGTTCGGTCAGGCTAACTATTCTGTAGCCTTGCTGCTTCAACTCGGGCAGCAAAATTCGTAGAATCTGCCCATGGGGGTACATAAGATGGTGGATAAGAGTCGGCAGGACACGAGAGGTGGCACCTTCGCATGAGAGGAGTAGAGAGGAACAAGCGAGAGGAAATGGATACGGAAATCTGGATAGGAGGCAACAGGGCCAACAGAACGGCCAGTGGAAAATGCCTACAAAAAATCTCAATGCCAGTACCAAAAAACAGGTGTGCCAAGAAGAAGAAGAAGAAAAAAAAGCAAGGCGATTGTGCAAAGGGCAGGGCGTACATGGTTGGTTTGTGGGCCCTGCTGTGGGCGATCGTGCAGGATGATGATGGCTCCCGGATACATCTGCATTGGGAGGAAAAAGGGGAGGGAACGGATGGGTAGAGCGGGTATGTATGTGAGAGTTTCCAGATTGGCTAGCGGATACATGTGGATGGGGAGGATACGGGGGAGGGAACGGATGGACGCAGTGGGAGTGTTAATAAGATGCCTTTTGAGAAGATGGGTTCTGGATGAATGGAGTGTGGAGGGTTAGAGTGAGTGGAAGGTACGAAAGGAGTGGGAGTCTATGTGAGAGCATACAAGTGGAAGAGGCAGCACATTGCAAATCAGCAGCTGATTGCAAAGCCCACAGCTAGCCTCTACAAACCTGCCAGTAAAAATAGCCACATTCTTTGAGCAACTAAAAAGACTTATTGTGCAACAAGGCCCAGTCACCCACCTTCCATAAGCAGACGCAGGCAAGGAAGGCCCCACAGCCCTTGAAGAGCGGGTCCAGGGGGGACACGGAGCCCAGGGCGAGGCTGTACCCGTGGCTGTGCGCCCAGTGCTGCACCCTTGAGTCATCTCAAATACCTTATTGTACAACAAGGCGCACTCACTCACCTTCCACAGGCAGAAGCGTGCAAGGAAGGCCCCGCAGCCCTTGAAGAGAGGATCCAGGGGAAACACGGAGCCCAGGGCGAGCCTGTACCCGTGGCTGTGCGCCCAGTGCTGCATGTGTGGCGTGGCAAAGCCATAGCCCTGGAGAAAAGATGGCAGCGGGGGAGAGCGGCAGGAGAGTGAGGAGAGTGGAATGTGGGGCCAGTTTCTCCACATATAAAGAGAAACAGGAGGCCAGGGCGAGCCTGTACCCGTGGCTGTGCGCCCTGTGCTGCATGTGTGGCGTGGCGAAGCCATAGCCCTGGCGTGGAGAAAACGAGAAGAGAGAGGGTAGTAGGGCAGAGGGCAGCAAGGGAGAGAGGAGAGTGGAGTGGAGTGAGTGAGTGAGTGAGTGCGGCTAGTTGTTCAGCTCAGAAGGAAACACGGAGGCCAGGGCGAGCCTGCACCCGTGGCTGTGCGCCCTGTGCTGCATGTGTGGCGTGGCGAAGCCATAGCCCTGGCGAAGAGTGGAGCATGGGAGAGAGGGCAGCGTGAATGAGAAAGCAAGTGTGAGTGAAAGCGGTTTGCTGTCCCGTCCAGAGGGAAACAAGGAGACCGAGGAGAGCTTATATACGAGGCTGCACGTCCATTTGCTGCCTTAGAAATGAGAGAGAGAGGGAGAGGAAGTATTTGGGTATCACAAGTCAAACTGCATGTCTGTACCCCTGCTGAATCAATACAACGGACCATTTGAGAGGAAATATTTGGGTCAGGAGTAAATACAAAGGACACCATTTTGTTGGAAGAATTACATGACACGAAAATGAAGAGAGGGGAAGCGAGTGAGAGGCGTACCGGTCTAAACCACTTGATTTGGCGGCCATGGGAATCAAGTGGGAAGAAGCGGTGCAGCTTGGCGTCCACCTCGAGCATGGACGCCATGAATTGCTTCTGTGGGGTGGGATAGGGGGGATGAAAGGGATGAGAGAGAGGTGAGGAGGGGAGGGGAAAGAGGGACTGCAAGTCAAGCGGGTGCTTGGCGTCCACCTCGAGCATGGATGCCATGAATTGCTTCTGTGAGGGGAGAAAAAGTGGGCGTGGGAGGGGAGGGGATGGAGGGAGAGGATTAAGGCACTGGCATGCCAAGAAGATGCGTTGGGGCATGCAAGGAGGAAGAAGCGGTGAAGCCTGGCGTCTGCCTCGAGCATGGACGCCATGAATTGCTTCTGTGGGGAGGGAGGAGGGGGAGATGGGAAAGGGAGGGGTGGAGGGAGAGTGGAGGACACAGGCTGCTTGGCGTCTGCCTCGAGCATGGACGCCATGAATTGCTGCTTTGGGGAAACGGAAAAAGGGGGGAGGGAGAGGAGGGGAGGAGGAATGGAAGAGGAGGATCAGGGGAGGAGGACGGATGGAGGGAAAGGAACGGTAATAAGGGAATTGGGGACGGAGCTTGAGGCCCATCTCAAGCAACGATGTGACTTTTGAGTCGACTCAAAAGTCACCTCCTTAGAATTTAGGACGGAGCTTGAGGCCCATCTCGAGCAACGATGTGACTTTTGAGTCGACTCAAAAGTCACCTCCTTAGAATTTAGGACGGATCTTGAGGCCCATCTTGAGCAACGATGTGACTTTTGAGTCGACTCAAAAGTCACCTCCTTAGATTTGGAGACGGAGCTTGAGGCCCATCTCGAGCAAGGATGGCTTGAGACGCCTTTTTGGCGGAATTGATGGAGACAAGTTGAAGGATGGGCGATATTTGAGTGTGAGGGTAGGTGTATGAGCAGGGTTGAGTATGAGGAGGGTGCGAGTATGAGGAGGGTGGGAGTATGAGCACACATACAAGCACACCTGGGAGTACCTTGAAGGACATGAAAGGTGGATACGCACACACATGCACAAGTACGTACGGTGGAGAGCAGGCAGCCAGGATAATCCGCCATCATGTGATTCGCCACTTCATGACCTGCCATCGTGCCATGGGGATGGATAGAGATACGTGCATACATACGGGGACAACACGGATGGGGCACCACAAAATCCTCGTCATGTGATTGGCCACTTCGTGCCCTGCCATCGTGCCATGAGGAAAAGGAAGAAAATCGTTCCGAGTGTAAGAAGAAACACTTTATAAAACACCATATTTTACCAGCTTGCACTGTACCGACTGAACCAAACCATACCATCGCACCGCACTGCACTGCCGCACTACATACCGTCTTGCACCATGCGCTCCACGAGGTCAGGGTATTTATCAATATTAGACCCGATAAGAAAGAAGGTGACTGAACACCCGTTCTCCTTGAGAATATCCAAAGTCTGTTCCAAAAGGACGGGTGGAGAGGGGTGGGGATGGGTGGAGATGGATGGGTGGAGGGAGGGGGAGGGAGGTGGCTGAATACCCTTGCCCCTTGAGAATATCCAGAGTCTGTTTCAAAAGGACGGGTGGAGAGGGGTGGGACGCTTGGAGAGGGAGCAAGAAACGCGAGTCACCGCTCCGCAAGTCAACTCCAACACACCATTGCAGCATCAATAAGAAATCAGCTTAAGGGATCGCAAGCTCACCTCGCTGGTGAATTTCCCATTAGGGCCATCATCGATTGTAAGGCCAACAATTTTCTCTGAGAGGACGGTGAAGGCCGGGCAGGGGGGGGAGATTGGTATAACGAGAGGGGAAGCGGAAACAAGGGAGAGATACAGCTCGAGCCTTTGTGGATATGCAGGCCCACTATCTTCTCTGAGGGGAGGGGACGAGCAGGCAGGAGAGAAAATGGAGCACATGGCAAGGAAAAGGAGGCGATGGGTGGGAACAGTTCAATTCGATTGCTGATTTACACATGACAACCAAGGGAGGTAAGGCCCACTATGGAAGAAGAAAGGAAGGCTAGGCAGGGGAGAAAAATGGTAGCGTGAGTTGAAACGGAACCAAGGGACTAATGCAGATCGATCCGCTGGCAATTGTGAGCAGGAAAAAGATCACTGGTGTTATAAAAGGGGATGCGGAGTGGAAGCACGGGAAATATACAGCTCGATACATCGTCCATCGTCAGGCCTACAATCTTCTCTGAGAGGAGGGGAGGAACGGTCAAGCAGGAGAGAGAGTGTAGCATATGACAGGTGAAGAGAGGTGACGAGTGTGAGCTCATTTCTTTGCTGATTGTCGTATACCAAGGAAAGGAAACGAAGCTCACTCTCCCGAATCACGCCTAAAGATCTTAAGGTGATGCTACGTAAGGAAACGGGGAAAAGGGGAAGGCTTTGTAGAGAGAACTCGGAGGGATCAAATATTGCAAGGAAATCAGAAGGGAACAGAAATGACAGAAAGGAGGTGAAGGAGCATAGCTAGAAGTTGTAACGTTCCGAGCACTTGTTCAAGGATCAGAGCCTCAGAAAAATGCCAGCGCAGGCACATTCCAAGGAAAAAACCGCTGATTGACAGATAGGAAGAGGCTGCTTCTTGATCAGCCATTGGTGTTTAAACAATGTTTGGGCACATTGAGATGTCTTCATCACATTTCGATTACCTTTCGTGTCTACTTCGAACAGCACTGCTGGCTGAAAGAGGCGGCTGATGGCGATGGCCCATCGAGGCTGGAAAACAACCCTGGGAAGGGTAGATGGATGGACGGTTGGGAGGAACAAAGGGTTGGTGGATGCATGTGAGGGATTAAGGGGAATAACGTTGAGAATGGTGGAGCAAGGGAACAATTCGATGGATAAGAACTGATGCTGGAACACAACTTTTGGGTAACTCCAGAAGGGGAGAATGCAATACGAAGGGTAGACGCTGTAAGACAACCATGTGGTGGTGAGATTTGTCAAAAGTAGAAGCGTCGCAAGAATCTTAGCCATTTGGAATTGCAAGAATGCGCTCAGAAACATACCCTACAACTGTGAGTACCACCGCGACCACGCAAACGATGCTCACAACAGGAGATTGGCCACCCCAGATAGGACCGCCTGGTTGGCTGAGCCCGAATAGAAACTCCACGCCGAGCATTGTGATAACAACGGGTTGTTATTATAAGACACAGTTTTCCGGAATTAATTGCGGTAGGCTTTAGAAACTTCTATCGAAGGAGCGACTGAGAAAGCAGCATCGCTTGACCAGGCGGTTGCGGGAGACGGCGTAAGCGAAACGACTTTAGGAACCTCAGCTACTTTTTACAACTACACGAAACCAGCTACTATTTACGCCTTTGGAGCCGGTTGAAAGTCGCACGCATGAACAGACGCTCTGCAGGATGCCAACGGTTGATGAGAAACTGGAAGGCAGCAGCATCTGAACTAGAGGCGTGGTTTCCTTCAGTTCCGAACTGAGCAACAAACGAATCCTGGAGCTCGACGGGTTCGAGGCGGACTTGTCGGATAAATCATGGGTGTGGTGGGATAGGATGATCGGACGGCGAAGGACGACACATATGAAGCGCAAATCTTCGATAACCGTCGGATTGCATCTCTGGTCCCAACATCACGGATCAAATTGAAAGACGAGCGACAAAGAGGGTTCCGCGGTGTGTCAGCTGTCAGACCCGAGTGCCAGGAAAACCACAACACAGGAGGCTGTCTCAATTGCGTTCCACACTTTCGAGTACAATTACAAGAAGCAATTTCTCAGTCTGAAATAGCTCTAAAATATGTAACAAGCATTGTTGCCCGGTACTGGCTTTGTTCCAGCTCCTTATTCCATAACCCAGGCTCGTCGGTCTTGTTAGTCAGCTTTGACCCCTTGAAGAAGCATCCACCGTAGCAAACACAGGCAAAGATGCTCTGTTGCCTTCTCTATTCCCATCTGCAGCGAGCAATGGGGATCCATCCCCTTCCTTTGGTTCCCTCATTGCTCCCATGCTCTTTGAAACAGGCACTCGAGTTTCCCCATTCATAGCAGCAGAGGACACGGCTGGGAAGGATGCAGATGCCGTGAGGGGTGGCGCTTGTGGTGGGCCAAAGAGATAAGAGTAGGTGCTGGTGCTGAGCTGGGTCATTGAATCACGGAATTGAGACAGCTGAGAGGTGGATGTGGGGAATCAATAATGGGGAGGTGAAACACGAAAAGGGATAATCGCTTACTTGGCCCAGAAAGTACCGAAGATAGAGATTGTGATGCGCGGGATGCGTGCGACACATAGCATGTGGAGCACGACCAGGCCCAAATTGTTCAACCTTAGTAAGGTTGACCGTTGGGCTGTGGGGGAGGTGCTCACAGAAGTTGACGGGGGGTGTTGAGAGCGACGGCTGTTACACCTTCGCACAACACCTCGCTACACTTATCAAGGGGGGGGACTTCAAGTTTGGTTGCCGAAGTCCCAAGTTGCAAACGAGCAAGTTTCCGAACCTCCTCTATCAAGAATACTAATCTTGCCCCTCGCGGTCTGCAATTTGGGCCTTGAGCTTTAAGTGAAGGTGAACAAACCTGAGTTGATGCTTGATCATATAACTCCAATGTCACATCTCCAGCATACGCAAAGCGGTTGACCCACACTGCAAAGTGCCACAAGCGAATAAGAGCACAGTCACAGAAATTGGCACCGGCAAATCTTTGGCAAATCTCTGAACATCGAAATCATGCAATCATTTGACCATCGAAGATGTCATGCTTGTGGCAGCTTGCGATCCATCTGCCATGCACCGTGCAAGCAGCACCATTCACATGCAAGCAGCAATGCACATGCAAGCAGCAATTCACATGCAAGCAGCACCATTCACACCAATCTATTTCAAATCTCGCACCTGGATCAACCCACTTCACTTTTCACACCTGGATCAGTTCATTTCGGGTTTCATACCTGGAGTGGGACCAACGCCGAGCGCTTGACAGAATTCGTCACAAAAGTGGTTGCAATTCCGCGCCAGCATGTCGTAGGAGCGCCCTGGCCATTCTTTACTCAATCTCCGGAGCAGCTCGCCTACTTTCTTCTCCCCCATGCCCGTGACACCCATCTCTATCGTCTCCCTGAATGTGTACATGGGGTTCCCCTTAGGCGGACAGCTGAATACTCCTGACCCTCGCTCGCAGTAGCCAAACGACCACTCCTCGCCATAAACCTGGCTTGAAAGAGGGATAGGGATGACGGGAAAAGAAGCAAGAAGTAAGACAAGTGCGAGAAGAGAAACGCAACGAAAATGACACGTAGTGCGGAATCGACAACAGGGCGAGGAGACAGAGTATAAATGCAGGTGCGGGCAGAACGGAGAACAGGGAGATCGTACTAAGGAAGGAGCTCTTTTTTAACACAAGGACCAACCAAAGGCCTCCAAAAGCCTCCTTCACACTACCTCGCGTTAGCTAAGAAAACGCGTGAGAATTAGGTCACATCCGGAAAGACAATCGTAACCAGTTTCATTTTCAAAACGCAACTACGCGGCCCACAGTTATCAGGATAATGAAACACCAGGACACGCTTCGATCCTGTCTAGGACATAACGCAACTCCATTGCCAGATTCGCTTCGTACTTGCCGCACACCACCTCTATAACATGACTCCATAACGATTACGACGCACCTACAGCTCTATGGACCATCACACCAACAATACAACATGACTCTATAATCCTTAATAACGCACCTCTACAGCTCCGTGAAAGATCCCGCCGATCCCCAGTGCATCTTTGGTGACCCTGTTGATTTGCAGGATGGCGTTGTTCGTCTTGGGATTCGGGCTGTTCGTGATGTCGTACACATGCAACGAAACCGTCGCCATGACTCTCCACGCTACCTAACCGACTTCGAGATACTCGCAAACACCAGCAGGCGTTGGAATCTTAAACTAAGGCACTACAGGAAAAGCCCAATCGAATCACTGATGAGTGTGATTTTTGGTACCTAATAAAGTCGTACCAGGTAACCCCACCACACTAACTCCACAGCAAGGAAAGCCAGTCATCGACCGCCTAGAGCTGCGTACTCAGTCGGCCAGTTAGCCAGTCTATCACACCGTTTCGCTCCCAGCAGCCAAACGGAGGACCTAGAGAACCACTACAACTACACAACCGACACCAAGCCCTTCAGAGAGTCACATCACGTCCTGCAGTCCTTGAGGAAAGAATGGCACTGTTGGAGGAGGAAGGTCGCTGGAGGCATGAATTTCAGGCTGTGGTGCTTGTCCTTCACAGCAACTCTAGTCAACCAGTTAGCCTGGAACTATCGCGTTCGGATTCGGAAAATGGGCGGAATACGGCGGAAGGCGGCGGAAAGTGAGTGGAGTGGAGGTCGTGGTTGGGGAAGGCATGGAGCGGTGAGGCGGAAGCCTGGTGCGTCGGGGCCTCGGGGAACGAAAGGGATTGGCGGGAGCGGAAGAATCTCCCCACTTGGGGAACTTGGCCGTGCCTTGACTGACGAAATTTGGCGGTACAACCCAGTCTTGCACGTCATTGGTCAGTTGCTACTTCCGGACCTTAGAAGATAGCGAACGAACTCGCTAAAGGGAACTTGTTGGAAGGCGAGGCCTCACAGGAAACGTTACCGAGTTAAAAAGCAAATCAACATTCGTAAAATATAACAGAGCACCAGTCGTTTGTAAACGACAGAAATTATGATTAATGAAACTATGGGCATTTGCGATGCACATACGCAGCTCCATGCTCCTCATACCTGCAAAACCAAATATAAGAGGTTAATACGATCCAAAACACTCTTCAAACAAACGTTGCTGCCCACTGACCCCTGGAACATACACATTGAACCACTCACTCTGCCTTGGAGAGCCACATTTGTTGGAACGAACCCAAGGAAGCGAGGATGCTGCCTCCAATCCATACACTGTACATCAACAGGAACCACCAACATCAATAGTGAGCACGGCTCAATACAACAATGACCAACAGTGAACGAGGAGAAGGATATTAGGTGCAATTGTAGCATACCTGAACTTCCTTTCCATAACATTGCCGCTTGCCAAAACCTTCACTTTTGCCGTTTGCGGGGCCTCCTGCGGAGGTTTAGACACAGAGAAAAACACCATAACGAGGCAAGGTGGAAAGGGTAACTGGGTAAACAAGAGCAAGTAACAGGTAAACCACCCACTAACAGTCCGTCTGAGGTTGAGAACTTGAAAAAAACAGCATCTTGGTTTCTATGTGGTGACTCACCGCCATGAGCTCCTTTTCCAATCGCTCTTTGATCTGCTGCATGGCCATAGTGCCTCCAGACAGATTTGGAGTCGACTCAAGAAGAGGGGGGGAGAGGAGGAGAAGGGGTGCTATGTGGTGACTCACCGCCATGAGCTCCTTTTCCAATCGCTCTTTGATTTGCTGCATGGCCATAGTGCCTCCAGACAACTGCCAAAATCATGCAGGCACACACACGGACGGGTAAGAAAAACTCTTGAGTTTCCTGGAGTTTTTCAAGGACCAGGATAGGGAGGGGGAAGAAGAAAGAAGGTACTAATAAGACAAACAGAGGAAGCTGCCAAAATCTGCATAATTCTCTCACCAGCACAGAGCTGTAGAGATCCTTGCGGTTCCACATCGAACTTGCTTATGCTGTCAACCAGGTGACTTTTGAGTCGACTCAAAAGTCACCTTGAGTCGACTCAAAAGTCACATCGAATCGAACTTGCTTATGCTGTCAACCAATCTAGAAATCATGCCATGAGCACCATCATTATATCACCCCCCAATCGCGCTCTCGGTACTATCATACCCCTGCTCCATTCGCTCACCAGCACGGAGCTGTACAGATCCTTGCGAATATCCACATCGCACTTGCTGATGCTGTCAACCACTGTCAAGCAATCATCCCATCAGCACCATGATTCCATCACATCACCCTGATCGTGCCTTGGCACTGACATCCACCTGCATCATTCGCTCACCAGCACGGAGCTGTACAGATCCTTGCGAATATCCACATCACACTTGCTGATGCTGTCAACCACCTGGCAAGACAGGGGAAGAAAGGAGTACAGACTACCCGGATGTGAACATCACACGTGGTCATGCTGTACACAGTAGGTAGGCAGGTAGGGAAAGATAGTAATACGGAAGGCGTTTACTAAGGCACCTAAAAAGGAAGAATAGAATGTGCAGGGCAGGGATAGGTAGGAGGGTGATGGAAGGTGAAGGTAGCATATGGCGGGGCAACAGGACGGGTTGACATCACATGCGGAGGGGTGCATAGGGCCACTAAGCCACAATGCCTCACAAGCTCGTACCATTCTTGCTATCCCCGGCGACTTGGCAGCATCAGCAATGGCCTCTGCGGCTTGAGATGACTCAGAAACAATCTCAGAACACATAACTATGAGATGTCTCAGAAAAGCTCGTACCATTCTTGCTATCCCCAGTGACTTGGCAGCATCAGCAATGGCCTCTGCTGTCCACCCACCACTGGAAGGGTCGCCTGAAGCGATTGACTGGAGAGAAGGGGAAGGGGTGGTGGCCAGTGGGGGAGTAGAGATGAGCAAGAGGAGGAACAAAGGCCTCTGGTGACTTGGCTGCATCAGCAATGGCCTCTGCTCTGCTGTCCACCCTCCACTGGAAGGGTCGCCTGAAGCGATTGACTGGAGAGTGGTCGGGAAGTGGGGAGTGGGGAAATGGGAGAGTAGGTGGGGCGTGAGCGAATGGTTGAGTAGGGGGATGAGGGAGTGGGGAATGGGCAGCGAGAGAAGGATGCCAAAGCTCCTACAAAAACGTCTCACCTGACAGAAGCGGAAGACTCGAAGAAAAGGGGAGAGGCAGAGTAGAAGAGTAGGGCGCAGAGGCAGGTTAGTTGGGCTGGCGATGATGCACTGGGGCAGGTGTGTGACTTGGGCAGGCGGTATAGGGGTAGGTGGCACCTGGGGAAGGTGGTGCAAGTGGTGGCACTCACAGAGAGCAGGCTTGGATTGAAGAGCGCGTCAGCCACTTTGAACCGGTCACTGCCCACCTCCAGTACCCTGGGCGGAACGGAAGATAGGGGAAGGGGGGGGGTTGTCTTGGGTTGAGTTGGGCTGAGTTGGCTTGGATTGAAGGGTGCGTCAGCCACTTTCAACCGTATCCTGAGATGAGAGAAAGAATGTTGTGTTGGATTCAGCTGGGTTGGGTTGGATACAATTGGGTAGCAGCCAAAACAACCACGTGTCACCACCCCTCTACAACCTACCCAACCCCACCTTTTGATTCCGTTTCTCCACACTCCCTTCAACCACTCAGCAAACCCCATCATATAGTGCAACCCCTCTGCATCCCATTCAGCCGTTGACCCAGCTCCACCACCCACCTAACCCCAGCACTGCTCCACAATCTACCCAACCACACACCTGTCAACACCCCCCCGCTCAACCCCATTCAAGCACTCACTGGCCGTCTGGCAATTCATATGCCACTGTTGGGACATTGGAGAAGGAGAGATCTGAAGGACAGACGTGCATGGGCGGAAGTGTGGGACAGAGAGGGCCATACACAGTACACCACTTCGAGAAGTATTATGAGGCGCCTCAAAATACACCTCAAGGGTGGGACAGAGAGGGTCATACACAGTACACCACTTCGAGAAATTCCAAAAGAAAACCACCACCCACCAATGAATAACAAGCAGAATGAAATGCAGGAAGCACAGACTCCTTAAAACTACAGCCATTTCATTCGAGGCAAAAAAAATCAGGTGAATACACACCATCATTGAGAAGGGATCATCACGGCCTTCATTGCATCACAGCCGTTCAGATTCAGGCAACCACAGCCACTCAACTTCAGGCAGATAGCAGCACACGCACCATCATCGGGAGGATCGGGCATGCAGCACACGCTTCCTAATGAACCACACTGTACCACACCACACCACAGCCAGTAGGCAACGCACCGTCATAGGGAGCATCGGGCACGCGGCACACAGTCTCCTTCATGTCTGCTGCTGTCGCCTTCTCAAAGAGTTTAAGCAGATAGAGTCAGGTGAATACGCACCGTCATAGGGAGCATCAGGCACGCGGCACACAGTCTCCTTCATGTCTGCTGCTGTCGCCTTCTCAAAGAGTTTAAGCAGATAGAGTCAGGTGAATACGCACCATCATCATCATCATCATCATCATCATCATCATCATCATCATCATCATCATCATCATCATCATCATCATCATCATCATCATCATCATCATCATCATCATCATCATCATCATCATCATCATCATCATCATCATCATCATCATCATCATCGGGAAAGGAGCATCACGGTCTTCATTGCATTGCAGCCGTTCAGATTCAGGCAAACACAGCCACTCAGATTCAGGCAAGCAAAGCCACTCAATTCCAGGCAACCACAGCCGCTCAATTTCAGGCAGATAGCAGCACATGCACCAACTGAGGTGCAAAGGCAAGGATAGGGGCAAAGGCAAGGATAGGGGCTGAGGGAGCCTGAGGGAGCATGGGACGCACACTGCCTCCTCCATGTCTGCTGCTGTCGCCTTCTAGTTTTGAGACATCTCAAAACTTTTGAGACGTCTCAAAGCTGAGGGAGCCTGAGGGAGCATGGGACGCACACTGTCTCCTCCGTGTCTGCTGCTGTCGCCTTCTGCATGTCTGATCTGTCTGAGGCGGTGGCTGTCTGATCTGAGGTGTGCCCATCCACCACACAGAATTGTAAGTTGCTGCCACGTGTTGACACGTGTTGACATGACACCATGGCATTGAATGCTGCTGTTTCATAGGACTTGACTAGCGCACGAAGGAGTGGCTAGCGGGCGAGTGTCGGGCAAAAACGAATGGCAAGCAGGTGAGGGAACAGCATACCTCGAACGTGGAGGCTTGGGTTACGGATTTGCTAGGGAGTGGAAGGCAGGTGGGTGAGGAAACAGCATACCTCAAACTGGCCTGGTCGGATCAACACTCGCTTGAACGAGAACCGCGGGCGAACCTGAAGGAAAAGAGACACGCAGCAAGGGAGGGGATAAGAGAGGATTGCTGGTTAGAAGGGAAGTCTTCCAGGTAAGAATGAATTACTATTGTCCCCACTGACACATAGACTGCCTGTTGCTGCTTATGCCTCATCACCAAAGAAGTGCATCGATTCCCCTATCCCTCCTCTGTTGAATTTTGTTGAATTCTCAAAAACACCCTGCAGAAGTGCATCGATTCCCCTATCCCTCCTCTGTTGAATTTTGTTGAATTCTCAAAAACACCCTGCAGAAGTGCATCGATTCCCCTATCCCTCCTCTGTTGAATATTGTTGAATTCTCAAAAACACCCTGCAGAAGTGCATCGATTCCCCTATCCCTCCTCTGTAGCACGCTGCCCTGTGCACACTTTGCTGATCCAAATGGACTGCTGCAACTCGCCTCGCGTATGCCCAGATCCTACCCTTCTCGACTGCCTTTTGGGACGATGCAAAGGTCATCCCAACTCACACCTTCTGCCTGCCTGAGGCACTGAGATGATGTTTTAGGTGCCTCAAACTTCATCTTCCTAGACCTACCCTCACCTCATGCCTGCCTCTTGAGCCGACCCAAAGGTCAGCCCCCTATTCACAGCTTTTGCATGACTCAAAAGGTACCCCCAGCCCAGTAATACCTTTTGCCTGCCCACAGACCGAAGGAGAAACTCTGTGAGTGCATCCCCAGCCACAGGCGAGCGACGAAGAGACTGAGAGGGAAGAGAGGGATGGAGGGGGGTGGAGAGGGGTGGAGAGGGATGGAGACGGATGGAGAGGGGTGGAGACAGGTGGAGAGGAAGTGGGCAAGCAGGGAGAAAGGAGAAACTCTGTGAGTGCATCCCCAGCCACAGGCGAGCGACGAAGAGACTGAGAAGGGAAGGGAGGGAATGGAGAGGGGTGGAGTGGAGTGGGGTGGAGTGGAGTGGAGTGGGGTGGAGTGGGGTGGCGAGGGAGTGGGCGAGCAGGGGAGGAGGAGAAACTCTGTGGGTGGAATTGCTGGCCATAGGCTAGGCGAGGAACTCATTCAATGCAAACGAGGTGACTTTTGAGTCAACTCAAAAGTCACCTTGCTGGCCATAGGCTAGGCGAGGAACTCATTCAATGCAAACGAGCGCCTCACCTTTTGCTACATGTATCCATTGTGCATTGCTGCAACTGTTGTGGATGAGAAGGCATTTGATACAAGCAACGATCGACTCAAATGCACACACATTCAATACAAAGAGCGAGCACCTCACCTTCTGCAGCACGTATCCATCGTGCACTGCTGCGACTGTCGTGACTTTGGTGTCGGCTCAAAACTCGCAACACAACACAAAGCGAAAGCACCTCACCTTCTGCAGCACGTATCCGTCGTGCACTGCTGCGACTGTTGTGGATGAAAAACCGCTGCCAGAGGAAAGGAGGCAGGGAGAAACAGACAAGACCAAGCACAAATGCGGAAATAACAAATGGAAATCCATTTCTCAACACGTCTCTGATTTTTGTTTTGTTCATAAAAGCAGGGGAAAGCATTTGCGACTGCAAATGCAGTGACATAAAGGGGGGCTACTTCTGGCAATACACCATCCATCCTGTTGAACAATGTGTTAAAAACCCTCTCTCCTTCTACATAGACACACCTGTCAATTACAAGCAAGGCGGCTTTCCACAGGACAGGAGAAGGAAGACATCAGAACAGCATTCCGGGCCAGGAGTGTTCTGAGTCGACTCAAAACATACAAGCAAGGCGGCTTTCCACAGGAGAAGGAAGACGGCCAACAAGGGATCTGAGGCAAGGAGTCTTACAAGTGAGAAAAAAACCCATTACCAAGCTACCAACGCACCTGTCGACGACAAGAGAGGTGGCTTTCCCACAGGAGAAGGACGTCAGAACAGCATTCCTTGCCAGGAACACCGCTGGGGACCCGAGGGTTTCAAACATGAGCTGAACGGTCTTCTCCCTTGCTGCTGGTGGGTTGAACGACGGTTCAGCCAGCAGCACTGCGTGCTCCTTTGGATCGACTAGCAAGCGATCTCTGGGATGGCATTCAGGAGGGAGGGGGAGAGAGAGAGGGGGGAGACGGGCCAGTCAACAAAGCAAGGTGGCTTTCCCGCAAGAAGAGGAGGTCAGAACGGTGTTAGAAACGCAATAATCCAATGAGGGTCCCAGGGTCTTCTCGCACGCTGCTGACGGGTTAGATGGCAGCTCTCCCAGCAGCAGTGCTCCTGCGGGCCGCGGCAGGCTCACTAAATGGCAGGCTCACTAAATGGCAGGCTCACTAAATGGCAGGCTCACTAAATGGCAGGCTCACTAAATGCTTAATTACTACATCGCACGCTCAATCAAGTGGATGTTTTTGAGTTGGCAACAGTAGAGTGCACACTAACGTGCATATCATGAATTGGTGATAGCAACATGCCCACTTCACGGTTGATAAATAAATGCACGCTTACTTAAGTGCATGCTCCCAAATGGCAGCAACTCCTTCCCAATCTGAAAGAAGACCATTGGACACAGAGGGCACCACCTGTGCCAGGCCAGGTGTATGCGAAGGGGAGGACAGGAATGGGGAGTGAGCTGAAGAGAAAAGCACACTGGAAATGTCGATTCAGAAGAAAGTGACAGCTGGAGAGAATATGGTTGGAAACCGAATGCAAGCAATCATGGCCTATTTTTTAGTCGACTCAAAAATACAATCATGGCCTTTGCAATATTACATTGTACACATTCGTGGCCGCTTCACATGATAAAATGCCTAGAAAAACAGAGAACATCTACCTGGAAAGAAAGAAAGAAAGAAAGAAAGAAAGAAAGAAAGAAAGAAAGAAAGAAAGAAAACACAACAGAAAACGAAAAAATTGAACATGCAAAAGGGTACTCACCTCCATGAAGTCTCGTCTGTATCCAAGGGCGTTGCTGCCCACAAACAGCTTCCTCTTGCCACCTGGCGAGCCCCCATTCCCCGATGCCCCTGCTGCTGCCGCGCCCCCTTCCAGCTTCACTCTCTTCGCATCTGGCCCCTCTGCTTCGCTGCCCTCTCCCTTTTTCCCCTCCCCACCTGGGCCTTCCGCATCTGCCTCTATCACACCAAACACCTGCCATGCCATGCAAGCAGCATTGTGGGATGTGGAAAGAGATAGATAGTACATTTTGAGGAGCCCGAGAAAAGCAGCAACAGCAGCCGCGCCCCCTTCCAGCTTCACTCTCTTCGCGTCTGGCCCCTCTGCTTCGCTGCCCTCTCCCCTTTTCCCATCCTCTCCTGCACTTTCTGCATCCGCCTCTATCACACCAAACACCTGCCATGTCATGCAGGCAGCGTTGTGTGATGTGATGTGAAGATAGATAATATACATTTTGAAGAGCCTAGTTTTGAGGAGCCTAGTTTTGAGGCGCCTCACAACTAGCAGGCAGCGTTGTGTGATGTGATGTGATGATAGATATTAATATACTTTTTCAGGAGCCCAAGAAAAGCAGAGGGCGTTATTCTCCCAACGTACACTTGAAAACCTGTCCCAGGTCCAGCACCAGTGCCATCTGGAAGAGATGCTATACATACAATACAAAGCGACAATTAAAAGGGCAATAAAAGCGGAATGCGCAGGGGTGAGATCTCTGTCCCATACCGAGGGGAAGACAGCCTTCGGAGCATCCTCCCCTGCGTACCCCGCCTTGCACGTGTGCGAGCCCAGATCCAGCACCAGTGCCGATACCTCATCTAGAGGAATGTGGATGTGTAGAAGATTGTGAAGGGGGGGAAATATGAAAACACGCCAGGACACGAATCCAATTAGCCTAGCATGTGTGAGGGAGGTGTAAAGGGGAAGGGGCCCAGACCTCATCTGCTTTGAGGGGGAGTGAGTGAAGATCGAAACGATGGAGAGTGTGTGCGAGGCTCAAAAGAACACCAGTGCTGATGCTTCGCGAGTGTGAGGAGAGCATGTAATGGGGTGCGGATACAAAATAAATAAATAAATGAGCATTTTCAAAATACTTCGTGGGGCTCTGTACAACGCCAGTGCTGATGCTTCGCGCGTGTGAGGAGAGCATAGAATGGGGTGCGGGAAAAAGAAAAAAAAAAAAGAAAAAAAAAAAAGAAAAAAAAACACTGAGAATTTTCAAAATTCCCCGCGAGGCTCAGTATAACACCAATGCTGATGCTTCAGCATGCGACGATTCTATCCATGCGCGTGATATTCAAACACACCTGTCAAAATAATGCTTCAAGGTTTTGAAAAAACAAATCAGAAAATACCTCCGCCGGACATGATGCTCGCGGTGCTTCTTATTTACGTCTATGGCTCCGATAATGTGGCTCCTACAGCACCGATTGGAAGATCGTTCCCGTTGGAGGCGTAGATGCGATTGCGATATTCGACTGAGAAACTAACGCGGGGGTTTGACGTCGGAAACAGCGGCTTCCAGAAATACCCCCGCTCACACCTAGTTATTATACGTTCCTCGGATCGGTGTAAGCGACACGGCTAGAAGGAGACACCAGGCGATGCTTATAGTGGCACTCGTTATGGAGAGGCGTACAGTGAATAATCCTCAATGTTTGCAACTACCTGTTTGTAAAGGTTTTCACGAGTTTGCATCTATTGGTTTCGTTAGATTGATTGCATCAATATTAAACAGGTAAAAAAAATACATAGCATATGCGGGGATATATTTTTGTATGTTGATGAGATTATAGTAATATTCCATGCGTCCGCTTTATAAGAGAAGCAGCAGACACATTGCTCTACCCTCAACAGCTTGTATGGAGGATTCTTCCGCCTTCGCATGACTGACTCCTTCCACCACAGCTCAACAGGGAATAACAGATGCAGCTCCATGCGACATCCTAGACCCTTGAAGCATCTGCTGCAGCCGTCACCTCTTCACGCAGACATCAAGTAGGTCGTAAGACACGAGCGTTCTATATATTCCACTGACCTTCCTTGATTGCGGCCTCGCGTTGTACCTTCGCCCCACGGCTGTCGTCGCGCTCTCGACTGAATTTGCGAATTCAAGTCACCGCGTGGAAAAACTGGCTTGAATTAGCAAAGTTATTGTCACCATGCGAAGTTTGTTTGCTCGTTTCTAAGGCTGCTTTAACTCGCATCCTTCTCACTCTTGCCCTACGCTCGCAATTCCCGTGTCTCTCCTTCACGTCTCTCCTCTCCTTTCCTCTCCTCTACTCTTTTATCCCATCCTCTCCTCTCCTCTTCTTCTCCTCTCCTCTCCTCTCCTCTCTTCTCCTCTCCTCTCCTCTCCTCTCCTCGCATCTCCTCTCCTCTCCTCTCCTCTCCTCTCTCCAATCCTTTCCTTTCCTCATCCCTGGGTTGTCATCTCTCACCCATTTCTCTCCCTCCCTCCCTCTCTCTCCCCCATTCCCTCTACAGATGGCCCCGTTATGGTTAACACCGCAACAATACCTCATAAACCGTCCCCCCGCTCTCTCCCTCTTCCCCCCCCATCCCCCTTACAAATGGCCCCGTTATGGTTAACACCGCAACAATACCTCATAAACCGCCCCCTCGCTCTCTCCCTCTCTCCCTCTTCCCCCTCCCATCCCCCCTACAGATGGCCCCGTTATGGTTGACACCACAGCAGTACCTCATAAGCCGCCCCCGCGTCCTCTCCTTCTCCTTCACATCCATGTTACAGATGGCCCCGTTATGGTTAACACCACAGCAGTACCTCATGAACCGCCCCCGCGCACTCTCCCTCTACCGCAAACTCCTAAGAGAGATCGGAAAACGACCTGGGGGAATGAGCTGGGCTGCAGCAGAGAGCAGGAGGAGGGATGTGAGACTGCTGTTTGAGATGGGCAGGAGTGAAGCGTCGGTGAATAATTTGAGAGCGCTGTAACCTGTCCCTCCTGCTCGCTCCCTCTCCTTCCTATCCCCCCTACAGATGGCCCCGTTATGGTTAACACCACAGCAGTACCTCATGAACCGCCCCCGTGCTCTCTCCCTCTACCGCAACCTCCTAAGAGAGATCGGCAAACGACCCGGGGGAATGAGCTGGGCGGCAGCAGAGAGCAGGAGGAGGGATGTGAGAATGCTGTTTGAGATGGGGAGGTCTGAAGCGTCAGTGAATAATTTGAGAGAGTTGTTTCGCACGGGGGAACATGTGCTGGCCCAGCTGAGACGAGGCCATCTACCTGAAGTGGCTTATGTGTAGCTGCTGACATTTCTTGCTGCTGATTCTGTCACTTGGTCTCGGGGATGTGAGGATGCTGCTTGAGATGGGGAGGAGTGAGGCATCGGTGGATAACTTGAGAGAGCTGTTTCGCATGGGGGAACATGTGCTGGCACAGCTGAGACGAGGGCATCTACCGGAAGTGGCTTACCGTATGTTTGATGGGAATGAATATGGTTTAGTTTTACCTCCTAGTAGGCCAGAGGTGGGCTGTTTCGGAGAGGAAATAATTTGTAACTGAATCACTAATAAAGTAACATTTATACTCCTGTTGTGCAGTTCTAATTGTTGAATTTGCGAGAATTTAGCCAGATTCTTTCCATGCATCCCAGATGGAACAATAGTTCATCATGTACAGTACACATGCTCTGTTCGGCATTAACATTGTTACATCACCATCAGCATTTGATTGTGAACCATCATGAAGTACCGTACCGTAAAAGAAAGGAACAATTAATACAGCAGAATTTTGTGGGTTCTGCATAAAATTCTGAGGCGCCAACCAATCAGACAAATCTATGTGGAAAATAGGGCCTTATGACATGGGTATGATGTAGGCATTATACAACAATAGAATATAGACGGGGGCTTGTCAGAAAGGCTTGTGGTGGTTTCAGTCTGTGCATGTGGATATGCACATATCGAGATTCGAGATGCTGCAGCCAAGCCAAGCTTGTGGGAGTCTTCCATCCATTTTGAGCCTTCTGTGTTCCCCCATTCTTAGGATCTTTATCACACGTGGGAATCCATAAGTGGTTACATAGCAAGAATGTGGGACCAACCTGTGCTTCTTTCACGCCCTTCTGATTGGTTGGCATTCTTCTACTTCCCCCTATTTTCGCAGAAGCTCTTGGTTCGTCACTCCACTCCCGAAAACATTGGAAGCAGACAGAATTGTCGCCCAATTATTGAGGGTTACAGAGTCACCGCTCGTGTTTGTTCGCTCCTGGAGGTTTCTTCCTCAGCTATCGGGCAACGCTGGCGATGAACGCTGCTGTTCACTTGCTGGCGCTCAGCTCGGAGCCTCGAGAATTTCCTGCTCAGCCAAGAAACGAGCTTCTGGAGCTTCAAGCTTCAGACTGAGCCCTGATTTCTGCTGGGAACATACCAGTTCCAACAGAAGGAAACAACAGCAATAGATAGTTTTAACGCTTGCAGGTTTTTATTCATGCATGAGCCGCACACGAGTGTTGTGGGTTTAAGGCGACGTGTCTAGTAGGGTTAGCGTTTGTACTATACGGCGTCGCTGTTTTGACGGCTGGTTCGTAGGAGTGGGACTTTCGTGCGAGAGAAGGTTATGCACAGCTGAAAGCGTTCGTTATTACGCCTTATACTGAAAAAACATGAAGTCGATAGGATGTTTGACGCACGAATCTGTGTTTCTTAGTTTCAAGTTGTGAGTCGTATTCCGTTCGTCCGAACCCAATACTGACACAGCATGGAGGCCAGAGCCGTTTGTTTTCGTCCAAGTAGTGTTCGTGTAGAAGCGATAGAATCGAACAGTTTGCAACATAGATCTGCTTCTGTGAGGAGGATCACGTGGGTTCAAAGCTCGACGTTGTTCTCTCTTCGTCACAACAGATATAGAGAGAGACGAGAGTCGATCAACAGGTAAGGCTCGATGTTTTTCAAGTCCCAGAGAAGCTTTCCACTTTCCGTTGACGTCATACCATGTTGCTGTAGTTTCAATGTTGCAAGTGTTAGGTTTTGTGTGGTGACATTGCACGATAAATGAAATGACTTGTTCCTTTACCTTCCTGATGTTTGTCACTTCCTTCTGTATTTTCTCGCGCCTTCTTGCTTGATCCACTGCTTTCGATCAGGGTGTTCGCATCCTCTCCTACTCCCCCCGACTTCTCGGCACGATCATCTAGCGGAGATTTCAAGAGCAGCAACAGCGGCAAAACGCGTGGGGAAAGCAACAGGGGTGATAGCGTCGATGGCTCGAGAAAAGATCAGCATGATGATCCGAAACCTTCTAGTCCCCTGAATCCTCCCTCTGTCGGTCCATCTCCACCTGTCAGCAAATCGTCTCCGTCCACTCCGCCGTCATCACCTTCAGCCAATCCGCCATCATCACCCTCAGTTGGCCAATCAGACTCCTCGTCGTCAAACCCTTCCGCGTTCTCCAGCAGGCCGGAGTCTCCGAAACAGAATCAAATACCACGCCCGGGTAAAAGCGGTCCGGGCCAAGGAGGCGTGGTTAAAAGCAACACACAGTATCGGTTGGTAGAAGATGGTAGTATGCCGGAGTATAATAGATCTTCCAATGGAGGAGCAGCCAACTTTCCTGTAGCAGTTGTAGGTTCTTCGATTCCGCCGTCGATACCATTTTCCAACCCTCCCCTGTTTCGGCCTCCTCCTAGTCCAGTAGCCGGGATTGACATGCAGCTAAGACAGCAGCAAGAGCAAGGACAGCGACCGAAACCCGCAATGGACTCCGAATGGATCAACTTCATGTCCCCGGACTGGTATCCAGTCAAGCCGATCTGGCAGGTGCGTTGAGTCTGACATGGCAGTTCTTTGAGAGGTTATCTTTTGTATGGCGCGTTCAACCTGTAAGTGGCTGATGGTACTTTCTGCTGCTTCTTTTGGTTGTCACAGGGTACTGAGCACTGCGTTTTGGAGCAAAAGGACCTTCTCCTCTCGCTTCCTCGCCTCTGGAGAATGATGTTGCTCAGCGACGGCTCAGTAACGCGCCATTTGGAGCTCCTGCTGGGGGAGCAAGTCACCGTAGATTGTGTGGAGATGCGGGGAATCGGTCATGCACTTCTGGGTTTGCCACCTGGCACAGCGCTGGTGCCAGGACCACGAGTTCAGAGACAGGTACGGCAGCAAAACCAAAACCACTAGTTGTAACCCCTTTATTTCTTATCTTATGCGCTGTTTGTGTCCCCTTTGCTTGCGCGCCGTCCACCTCACTGCCGTCATCGTGTTCTATAGCGGTTAATATAGCTGTGAAGTCTTGTTGGCAAAACCATGTGTACCCACGTCCTGCTGCTGCTGATTTCATGACACTGGCAGGTCCATTTGAAGCCTGCTTCCGGCGAGGTATTGGTGTATGCTGCTTCTTGGTGGGCGGCAGAGGAGGTAAAGTCAGCACTACCAACTGTGCAGCAGCCTGTATGGAAGACCCTGCAGCAGCAGAGGACAGAACTCTTTCGCTCTCTAGAGCGACTGTATTATGGGTCCTCTCCTCATCTAGAAAGGTGAGTACTGTGTTTGTGCATGTTCTGGTTGTTCGCTTTCAGCTGCTCCTGAGCCTGTTTTGCACGGTATGAATGAATACTGCTCAGTGTTTGGTGTGGTTGGAGGTTGTCGGCTGAATGCCGCCTTTTCCCTGTTTCTTTCTTGGCTCCTTACAGAATATTTGGAGTTCCAGGGCCTTTCTGGGCTAGGCACTATTTCTTTTATAGTCACGGTCGCCCGCTTACCCTCATCTACGAAGCCTTTTCCCCTCGTTTGGATGCTGTTCTAGGGGACAGTAGGTCACCCAACCTTCCACCTCATCTGTGAGTCTGTGAGACTCTGACCCTTCCAACATTTATGTATCACTTAGTGATGAATGAGCGCCGCATCTTGACACGGGCCTTTTAGGGTATCAGATTGATGTTAGGGTTTGCTGTATTGTTTTATAGTATCAGATTCAGGCCTCCATGCAGTGTAGTTAAATATTGCACTATTCCTCCAAACTAAACCCAAAATGTGCAAATATATAATTCGCCGCACCCTAACGAAAGTGCATGAAATCCATATTGCGTACTACGCTTTGGTCACAGAATACCACCTACCCACCTCGCTTGATTCCAGTAGAACTGCGAGTCGCGACGAATCACACAAGTGTGGAATGATCATCGACGGTCTCCTCCCTCTCTTCCTGAAACACATACACCCTATTCTCGATAATTGCACACCTCCTACCCCCTATTTCGAAGGTACCCTGTACGTTTTCTGGCTCGATGTGACGGACACCCAAAGATTGACGAGGGTAGTTATCGAGCCTCGCACTTATTTTTCCGAGTGAGTAGTAGGGGTGGATGGCTGCCCTTGGAACTCTGGTTTCTTTTCTTCCATTCGCGAGCAGGTTGCGAGACTCCCTCTTCCGAAAGTCTACAATCGTTGCTTGCTACCCAACTTTAACGTTTAACCAAGAGTAATTACCCCAGGGTGTGCGCTTAAGGGGTGTGAAATTATCGAGAATAGGGTGTCAAACAATGGTTCTGCAATGCGTTGATTGCTGATGCGCTTTATTCGAAGAATCGTGCTAGTATTCGCTCCCACCCCGATCGAATTCGCAAACCCTCCGCTCAACTCCACTGGCGCAGTTTATTTAGCAAGCCTTCCTTTAGTGTAACATTCGTTAGTGTGGATAACTTATCGTGTAAACTACTATCACCACTGGACCGAGCGGACCGAACATTTGCGTGCCAAAGCCCCATTGCACCGCATCCCACATGCTCACATGATAATGGCTCCTCACCACACCCCCAGCGGCCGGGGATCTCCAAACGCGCGTCTCTACGGCATCGCAGCCTTGGGAATGTCGCGGCTTGTAACAGGGCTCGTCGTGCTGATGCTGCTGGCAGCGGTAGTCCCGAGGCCGACTTTCGCCGCTTCTCGGTACGCGTGGTGGAGGGGTTGCGGTTGGCGATTCTCAGGTGTGCAGCAGGTGTAGGGGTGGTGATTTTGCGACTCAAAAGTCTTCTCGGGTACGCGTGCGGCGTGGCGCAGTGTGGTGCAGTGTGGTGTGGTGTGGTGCAGCGTGGTGTGGTGTGGTGTGGTGTGGTGTGGTAGGGAGTGGGCCTCGAGTTGTGATAGTGCCGTTTTTTCGGGCTCTTTTTCAATGAGGGGGTTTTACTGTAGACGAAACAACCAGCTTCATGTTAAAGGCGGTTTTAAGTCGACTCTTCCCTGCAGCTTGCAATCACGACCTCTCCTCCACCCACACACCCTTCGGCACTTTCCTCCCCACCCACCTCCCCTCCCTTACTCCCTTTGTTCCCCGATCCTCCCCTCCCTCCTTCACCCCCCTCCCCGCTCTCTTCCCCACCTTCCCACCTCTTCATTCCTCTTCACCCCTCCCCACCCCTCCCCACCCCTCCTCACCCCTCCCAGCCACGATGGGCTGCTGCAGTGCCCTGCCAACAGTAGCACGGGCGACCTCTTCCTCCCAGCCTTAGAGGCAGGCGCCGTTGCTGCAGGAACCGTGCCTTTACCCCTCTTCACAACCGTTCACCCCTCTGCACCCCTCCGCAACCCCCTCAGGCACGATGGGATTCTGCAGTGCCCTGCCGACAACAGCACGGGCGACCTCTTCCTGCCAGCCCTAGAGGCAGGCACTGTTGCTGCCGGCACCGTGCCTTGGCACACTACCAGGGGGAAGTTTCTGCTGCTGCACTGCGTCAGAGGGCAGGTGGGTACTGGGGAAGGTTGGTGCCAGCCAGGGCAGCTGCAGGTGTTGAAAGGGAGGCACCGTGCCTTGGTACACCACCAGGGGGAAGTTCCTGCTGCGGCACTGCGTTAGAGGGCAGGTGGGCGGGTGCTGGGGTAGGTGGGTACTGTGGGTACTTGGACAGGTGGTTGCCAGGTGGGTGCACGTGTTGAAGGGCAGTTCCGTGCCTACTGGAGACGGTGTGGCCTGGGGAGGAAGGAGTTGTTGCTGCCGGCACCGTGCCTTGGCGGACCACCAGGGGGAAGTTTCTGCTGCTGCACTGCGTTAGAGGGCAGGTGGGTACTGGGAAAGGTGGGTGCTGGGGACGGTGGGTGCTGGGGAAGGTGGGTACTGGTTGGTACTGGGGAAGGTGGGTGGGTGCTGCTTCCCCAACCTGCTCTCTCTCCCGCCCCTCTCCCTCCCCTCTGCCCCCTCCTCCTTCCTCTCCTCCTTCCAATCTTTAACCCCCGCAACCCCCCACCCTCTCTGCTCCACCCTACCCTTCCAACAGATCAGCTACCGAGTGCTCCGCATAAAGAATCACCTCCTGCTAGCCGCCCTCTTCTCTCGCACGCTCATAGTGCCCTCCCCTCTCCCTCCTCCCCTCCTCCTCCCCCCCTCCCCCACCCCGATAACAGATCAGCAACCGGGTGCTGTGCATAAAGAAAGGGCCGCACGCTCATCGTGCCCTTTCACCACCCAGAGGTGGTCCGCAACTACGACATGCACGTCGCTCCCTCCCCCACCCTGCACTCTCTCCCTCTCCACCTCCTCTCCCCTTCCACCACCCACCAGATCAGCAACCGGGTGCTGTGCATAAAGAATCATCTCCTCCTGGCCGGCCTGCTCTCCCGCACGCTCATCGTGCCCTTCCACCACTCAGAGGTGGTCCGCAACTACAACATGCACGTCGCTCCCTTCCCTACCCTGTACTCTCTCCCTTTCCCTCCCCTCCCCCACAAACCAGATCAGCAACCGGGTGCTCTGCATAAAAAACCATCTCCTTGTAGCCGGTCTTCTCTCTCGCACGCTCATAGTGCCCTTCCACCACTCAGAGGTGGTGCGCAACTACAACATGCACGTCGCTCCCTTCCCTACCCTGTACTCTCTCCCTTTACCTCCCCTCCCCCACAAACCAGATCAGCAACCGGGTGCTCTGCATAAAAAACCATCTCCTTCTAGCCGGTCTTCTCTCTCGCACGCTCATAGTGCCCTTCCACCACTCAGAGGTGGTGCGCAACTACAACATGCACGTGGCTCTCGACGTCGAGCACCTGCGGCGCTGGCTTGCTTCGGCAATATCGTCTTCACCACAGCAGAGCAGAGCACCGCCGAAACTGCTGTTTTTCACTCCCTCTCCCTCCTCCCTCCCTTCTCTCTCCCTCCGCCCCCCACACACCAGATCAGCAACCGAGTTCTCTGCATAAAAAACCACCTCCTGCTAGCCGGCCTCCTCTCTCGCACGCTCATAGTGCCCTTCCACCACTCAGAGGTGGTGCGCAACTACAACATGCACGTCGCTCTCGACGTGGAGCACCTGCGCCGCTGCTTCGGGAAGGTGGTCTTCACCACTGCAGAGTACCGGAGGAAATACGTGAAGCCGATCAACGTCACGGAGGTGGTGTGCTGGCACGGCCCCAAGGGAGCGTGCAGGGAGGAGGATAAGGAGCTGCTGTTGAATTGCCCGGCGCCCGAGACCATGAACACGCCGGCTTCCGTGCTCGTTGGGGGCGACGGAGAGGCACTCAGAAAGGTGCGTGCGTGGGTGGGGCTCAGATTAGAGGTGGTGTTCACGTCACCACACCACAGCAGATTACCGGAGGAAGTATGTGAAGCCGATCAATGTGACGGAGGTGGTGTGCTGGCACGGCCTCAAGGGCGCGTGCAGGGAGGAGGATAGGGAGCTGCTGCTCAACTGCCCCGCGCCCGAAACGATGAACACACCGGCCTCAGTCCTGGTTGGGGGCGATGGAGAGGCCTTGAGAAAGGTACGTGCGTGGGTGGGTGGGGCGGAGTGGAGGTGTGTGGGGATGATTCGAGGTATGTGGGGCATGGGACCCTTTCTTTCCGACTGGTACCCTGTACAACTCAACCACACTGCACTCAGCCGCTCTTCCCCTCCTTTTTCACGTGCTTTTGAGTTCTTGGCCCCCAACGATTCCCGCTCGCTTTCATTGTGGCTTGGTTCCTTGTCACATCTTCCTTCTCCTTCTCCCGTCTCCCTTTTCCCTCTCCCGTCCCCCCTCTCTCTTGCCTCCGTCTCCCATTTCCTAGGACGGCAAGCCGGTGTTTGTGTTCAAGCTACGCCCTGAAGTGCGCATCACTTTTGAGTCGACTCAAAAGTCACCTCGTTTTGAGTCGACTCAAAAGTCACGGTGTTTGTGTTCAAGCTAGGCCCTGAAGTGCGCATCACTCGCACGCTCTTCAGGGGTCAGCAGCTCACCTGTACCCCAACACTCTGCCCCTCGCCCTTCTCTCTTCCCCTCCCTCATCCTCCTCTTCAGCGGCCAGCTCACCTCCATGCCAGTCCCCCACCTTCCGCTCTCCCCTCCTCCCCCCTCTCCCCTGCACCTTCCTTCTCTCGCTTATCAGATCGGCAAGCCGGGGTTTGTGTTCAACACGCGGGTGCGCATCACCCGTACGCTCTTCAGAGGCCAGCTCACCCGGTTGACAGGCAACCACACGGCCCTGGCTGCATGCCTGCCCATGGCTGCAACGAAGTCACAGGTGAGCCTCTGATTTGATTCGTAGGAGAATCACACACACACTGTTCCACCTCACCCACCTCACCCACCTCACCAATGTACCAGCTCACCCACCTCACCAATGTACCAGCTCACCCACCTCACCAATGTACCAGCTCACCCACCTCACCAATGTACCACCTCATCCTCACCAATGTACCACCTCATCCTCACCAATGTACCACCTCATCCTCACCAATGTACCACCTCATCCTCACCACCTCACCCGGCTGTCAGGCAGCCACACGTCCCGTCCCTTGCTGCATGCCTTCCTGTTCTGCCAATTGTCCTCCCCCAATTTCTGTCCCGCACAGGTCCTAGAGGCGTATGGAAACAACCAATCGCCCGTGCTGGTGGTGGGGGATTTGGTCAACATTCACTTCACGGAGTGGCCTGAGAGTGACGCTGCTCTTGACCTCCCATTTGAGCGCTCTAGCGAATGCCCCACCGCGCTGCTCATCAAGCCGGCGGCGGCCATGTTCTTTGCCGCCGAGCTGTTTGTGCGCGAGACGTGAAGTGTATGATGACCAAGTTCACTTCACTTGTTGAGTCGACTCAAGAATCTGCTTCTGCCCCCTCGTTCCTCCCCCGCACAGGTGCTGGAGGCATATGGCAACAACCAATCGCCTGTGCTGGTGGTGGGGGATTTGGTCAACATTCACTTCACAGAGTGGCCTGAGAGCGACGCTGCTCTCGACCTCCCATTCGAGCGCTCATCCATCTGCCCCACGGCGCTGCTCATCAAGCCGGCAGGGGGGAATGCTTACCCTCCCCTTCCCTCCCCTCTCTTGTCCTTACCGTCCCACATTTTCCCCTATTTTTTACCCCGTTTTCTCTCCAACACAGGTCCTAGAGGCGTATGGAAACAACCAGTCTCCAGTGCTGGTGGTGGGAGACCTCGTCAACATTCACTTCACCGAGTGGCCTGAGAGCGACGCTGCTCTTGACCTCCCGTTCGAGCGCTCTAGCGACTGCCCCACAGCTCTCCTCATCAAGCCGGCAGCGGCCATGTTCTTTGCGGCGGAGCTGTTTGTGCGCGAGACGTTTCAGCGCGAGCGCTTTGTCGGCATGCACTGGCGGCGGGGGGACTTCAAGGCCTACTGCTTTTGGCACGGACCCAAGAACGCATGTTACTTCCCCGTGCAGCAGGTATTTTTCCCGTGCTTAAAGCGTTTGGGGTATAGAATTTTGGGATTTGAATGTGTGGGGTTTAGAGTGGCAGGGCTTCCTTATGCTGCTGATATTCCTGGTGGTTATTGTTTATGGGAGAGGCTTTTTAGGGCGGGCAGTTTATCAGCATGTTCCGTCCCTTATGCTCCGTGACATGTTCTTGAAATGTTTACACATCTTCCCTCCATGCCATGTTCCTTGGCACATGCGGGTATGTAGGTGGCCTATTGGGTGTATCGCAAAATGAGGGAGCTGGGCATGAATGCCATTCTCTTGACATGCTCCGTCTTTTCCATGTCCTGTCCGTGCCATGTTCCTTGACATGTGGCATGTGCCGGTATGCAGGTGGCGTATTGGGTGTATCGCAAGATGAGGGAGCTGGGAATCAACAACCTCTTCCTCGCCACCAATGCCAAGCATGCCGAGGTATGGGTTCCCCATCAAAACCCCAATGCACATTTTGGTAAACAAAACCCCATCATTTTCTACCTATGCTCTGAAATCCATCCCATCCTATTCTCGTCCACCTCGTCCACCTATTCTCACAATTTGGGAGAGGAAAGGGGATGTGATGTGACACAGAAATCCATCCCATCCTTGTGTCGCATCACATCCCCCCTTCCTCTCCCAAATTCCAAGTTAGAGGAGCTTACAGTGTTGCTGAACTAGATGACAAATTGCAAGTTATACATCCTCCTCATCTTTCCATCCTCTTCTCCCCATCCACTTCTCATCCTCATCTTCTCACCATTCTCTACTCTCTACTTACCCACATTCGCCCCTCTTATTCCAAACCCCCAGCTGGAGGAGCTAACAGTGTTGCTTAACCAAATGTCAGATTACAAGCTAAATGTCGTGCGGTTACCATCCGTCCGCGAAAAGAGCAAGGAGAAATGGATGCGACCCATCCATCACCTGACTCAAGGTCGCACGGAGCTCATTCCCGTGGCTTTAGAAAAGCTGATTTGTGCACAGTCGCACATTTTCTGGGGATCTGTGGCGTCGACATTTTCTATGGATATCCAACGGTTGCGGCATGGCTTACGGGTGGCCAGCTGTAACGATACGACGATTTGTTACGGGGAAAAAGAGTGGATCAAGAACAGAGGTTGATGGCGTTTGGGTTGTGGAGGCATTTTCAGTGCAGTAATAACTGACATGAATGTTGTAGTGTTTTTGTTTATAAGCGATCCTCAGGGAATTGACCTCACATCCAGCTTTATATGCAAGCACCTCACCTTGATTCCACTGGTTAATGTTATAGTAAAATGATTATCCTACCTTTAATAGTTAGTTCCGTGCTGATAAAATTCACTGTTTACTAGCAAATTGTTCTCGAGGCACATTCAAACGAATAATATGCACTCAGATAAACCGTTCCCCACCTCATCGGAATCCCCCTCTCCCGCCATTGTCACCTTGATAATGCCGCCTGCCAGTACCCAAACATTCCCGCCTAGCTAGTCAGTTCCTGTTCGAATATCTGTCAGGTGTTTCCTAGTCCGCATTCTAAGAGGCTAACCGCCTTCGCTCCTAGACGCAAGGCATTCCGTTATTTCCGCGCCAGGGTTCGCGTCGGGTCTCGCCGTTTCGCGTCATCGATTAGTCTCTAACGGATTAGGTTCTTGCAGTTAAGAACCTAAACTGCTTTCTGGTGCAAACGCATTTAATCCGTCTGTGTAGCGTCGATTTTAGCTGAAATGGACGGCTCAGATGATTCGGATGTGGATTTCGGCACAATGGTCATGAAGCCTGGGAGCCGCAGGCCGCCACAGGAGCCGTCCGATGAAGAATCGGACGGTGATGGAGGCGGGGACTTCGGAACCATGGTTATGAAGCCTGGAAGCCGACGCGACAGCGGGAGCGGCGGCGGCGGCGGTGGTGGATGGCGTGGGGGAGGTGATAATAAAGGGGGACAGTATGCAGGAGATAGTGACGAGGAAGGGGGAGGGGATTTCGGAACGATGGTGATGCGGCCACGTGGCACGCGACGAGAAGACGATGACGGGAGTGGTGTGGAATCGGAAGGCTCAGAAGGAGGGGATTTCGGAACCATGGTGGTTAGTCGCGGAAGTAAAGGAAGCAGCGGGAGAGGCAGGAGAAGGGACGAGGAGGAGGAGGATGACGAGGATGATAATAACGGGGATTTTGGGACAATGGTGGTGAGCAGAGGGGGTGGAAGGCGGAGAGGGGGGCAAGAGGAGGAGGAAGAGGAGGAAAGCGAGGAAGGTGATTTTGGAACGATGGTGGTTAGTAGGAAGAGTGGGGGAGGAGGGGGGAGGGGAAGAGCGGAAAGAGAGGAGGAAGGGGGAGGGTTGGCAGCCGCTGCTGCTAGCATGCGCGCTCAAATGGGGAGGGGTGGTGGGGGGAGAAGGGGAGGAGGGGGAGGAAGAGGAGGGCGGAGGAGAGAGGAGGAGGAGGAAGAGGAGGAGAGTGATGGAGATGGGGACTTCGGAACGATGGTTGTGAGTAAAACGAAGGGTAACAGGAGGCGAGAAGAGGAGGAAGAGGAAGAAGAGGAAGACGAGGAGGGTAGTGAAGAGGGGGATTTTGGCACAATGGTGGTGAGCAAGTCGGCTAAAAAGAAGGGACGGCGACGAAAGGAGGAAAGCGAGGAGGAGGAAGAGGGAGACTTTGGAACGATGGTTGTTTCGAAACGGCGAGGCCGAAGCGACGACGAGGAAGAAGAGGAAGACGATGACGAGGATGATGAGGATGAGGAGGAGGAAGAAAACCAGTTTGGCACTGTGGTGGTATCTGGGAAGAGCAAGGGGGGAGGGCGGAGGAAGAAGGGGGGGAAAGGAGGGAAGGGGGAGAAGGACGGGACTGGATCACTGGCAGCAGCGGCAAGGAGCATGGCGGAGCACAAAGACGTGGCTCCCAAGGCGAAGAAGGGCGGGGGAGGGGGCGTGGCAGGGTCGAGCATTCACGTGTCTAGAGAAGACCCCACCCTGAAATACGAACTGCTGGAAGAACTGGGTGAGTGTGGGGGGGTGGAGACGGGTGAGTGAGCGTGAGGGGCGGTGGAGCTCTGTGGGGGGTAAGTGGGAAGAGTTGGGGGAGTCCAGCCTATGTTGGAATACAAGGTCCAGGGAGGACCCCTGGGTGGGTGCTCCTTGTCTCTCACTCATGGGTTAACGCCACTCACTCATGGGTTAACGCCACTCACTCATGGGTTAACGCCACTCACTCATGGGTTAACGCCACTCACTCATGGGTTAACGCCACTCACTCTTGGGTTAACGCCACTCACTCATGGGTTAACGCCACTCACTCATGGGTTAACGCCACTCACTCATGGGTTAACGCCACTCACTCATGGGTTAACGCCACTCACTCATGGGTTAACGCCACTCACTCATGGGTTAACGCCACTCACTCATGGGTTAACGCCACTCACTCATGGGTTAACGCCACTCACTCATGGGTTAACGCCACTCACTCATGGGTTAACGCCACTCACTCATGGGTTAACGCCACTCACTCATGGGTTAACGCCACTCACTCATGGGTTAACGCCGCTCACTCATGGGTTAACGCCACTCACTCATGGGTTAACGCCACTCACTCATGGGTTAACGCCACTCACTCATGGGTTAACGCCACTCACTCATGGGTTAACGCCGCTCACTCATGGGTTAACGCCGCTCACTCATGGGTTAACGCCACTCACTCATGGGTTAACGCCACTCACTCATGGGTTAACGCCACTCACTCATGGGTTAACGCCACTCACTCATGGGTTAACGCCACTCACTCATGGGTTAACGCCACTCACTCATGGGTTAACGCCACTCACTCATGGGTTAACGCCACTCACTCATGGGTTAACGCCACTCACTCATGGGTTAACGCCACTCACTCATGGGTTAACGCCACTCACTCATGGGTTAACGCCACTCACTCATGGGTTAACGCCACTCACTCATGGGTTAACGCCACTCACTCATGGGTTAACGCCACTCACTCATGGGTTAACGCCACTCACTCATGGGTTAACGCCACTCACTCATGGGTTAACGCCACTCACTCATGGGTTAACGCCACTCACTCATGGGTTAACGCCACTCACTCATGGGTTAACGCCACTCACTCATGGGTTAACGCCACTCACTCATGGGTTAACGCCACTCACTCATGGGTTAACGCCACTCACTCATGGGTTAACGCCACTCACTCATGGGTTAACGCCACTCACTCATGGGTTAACGCCACTCACTCATGGGTTAACGCCACTCACTCATGGGTTAACGCCACTCACTCATGGGTTAACGCCACTCACTCATGGGTTAACGCCACTCACTCATGGGTTAACGCCACTCACTCATGGGTTAACGCCACTCACTCATGGGTTAACGCCACTCACTCATGGGTTAACGCCACTCACTCATGGGTTAACGCCACTCACTCATGGGTTAACGCCACTCACTCATGGGTTAACGCCACTCACTCATGGGTTAACGCCACTCACTCATGGGTTAACGCCACTCACTCATGGGTTAACGCCACTCACTCATGGGTTAACGCCACTCACTCATGGGTTAACGCCACTCACTCATGGGTTAACGCCACTCACTCATGGGTTAACGCCACTCACTCATGGGTTAACGCCACTCACTCATGGGTTAACGCCACTCACTCATGGGTTAACGCCACTCACTCATGGGTTAACGCCACTCACTCATGGGTTAACGCCACTCACTCATGGGTTAACGCCACTCACTCATGGGTTAACGCCACTCACTCATGGGTTAACGCCACTCACTCATGGGTTAACGCCACTCACTCATGGGTTAACGCCACTCACTCATGGGTTAACGCCACTCACTCATGGGTTAACGCCACTCACTCATGGGTTAACGCCACTCCACTCATGGGTTAACGCCACTCACTCATGGGTTAACGCCACTCACTCATGGGTTAACGCCACTCACTCATGGGTTAACGCCACTCACTCATGGGTTAACGCCACTCACTCATGGGTTAACGCCACTCACTCATGGGTTAACGCCACTCACTCATGGGTTAACGCCACTCACTCATGGGTTAACGCCACTCACTCATGGGTTAACGCCACTCACTCATGGGTTAACGCCACTCACTCATGGGTTAACGCCACTCACTCATGGGTTAACGCCACTCACTCATGGGTTAACGCCACTCACTCATGGGTTAACGCCACTCACTCATGGGTTAACGCCACTCACTTATGGGTTAACGCCACTCACTCATGGGTTAACGCCACTCACTCATGGGTTAACGCCACTCACTCATGGGTTAACGCCACTCACTCATGGGTTAACGCCACTCACTCATGGGTTAACGCCACTCACTCATGGGTTAACGCCACTCACTCATGGGTTAACGCCACTCACTCATGGGTTAACGCCACTCACTTATGGGTTAACGCCACTCACTCATGGGTTAACGCCACTCACTCATGGGTTAACGCCACTCACTCATGGGTTAACGCCACTCACTCATGGGTTAACGCCACTCACTTATGGGTTAACGCCACTCACTCATGGGTTAACGCCACTCACTCATGGGTTAACGCCACTCACTCATGGGTTAACGCCACTCACTCATGGGTTAACGCCACTCACTCATGGGTTAACGCCACTCACTCATGGGTTAACGCCACTCACTCACCCAGTTCCTCACTGAAATACGAGTTGCTGGAGGAACTGGGTGAGTGTAGTGGGGTTCGTTTCCCATGGCATGGGCATAGTATGGCATGGCATGGTATGGCATGGCGTGGTATGGCATGGCATGGTATGGCATGGGCATAGTATGGCATGGGCATAGTATGGCAGGGCATGGTATGGGATGGCATGGCATGGCATGGCATGGCATGGTATGGCATGGCATGGTTGTGACTTGGTGTGTGATGGCATCATATCACACGGCAAGGGGCATGTCAGAACACAAAGACGCAGGGGGTGTGGAGGAGGGGACGGTGCTCCCCACTCCCATACTCAAAACCCTCATAATCCTCACCTCCACCTGCTTCCCACACTCCCCAACCTTTTTGCAGGCAAGGGTTCCTACGGTTCGGTGTACAAGGGCAGAGACCGTATTAGCTCTGAACTGGTGGCTATCAAAGTCATCTCCCTGGCTGAAGGGGTAAGTGGGGGAAGGTATCTTGAGGAGGTTGGGAGGAATTTGTGCGATGTCTCACATGGAGGGAGTCATATGGGTCAGTTTTTGAGGCACCTCAGAAATAGACTCCTACGGGGCAGTGTACAAGGGCACTGCCCCGTATTAGCTCTGCATTAGCTCGGGCAGTGTACAAGGGCAGAGACCGCATTAGCTCCGAGCTGGTGGCCATCAAAGTCATCTCATTTGCTGAAGGGGTAAGTGAGAGACACCTGGCATGTTCAGGAAGAGGAGGGTAGGTGTTCGAAGGAGGTACGTGGCAATCAGTGCCAGTTCGTGCTAAATGGGTAAGTGGCGATTGTGTTCATTCATCCTCTTCGGTCCTCCCCTTTTCCTCTCTCTGCGGATTTCTTTCCCTTGCCCTCCCTCCTCTTCCTCCTCTCCCATCTCTTCCTCTGCTTCCTTCCACTTCTCTCCTCGTCCCTCCTCGTCCCTCCTCTTCACTCCTGTTTCCCCCATTCATTGTAGTACCCTCGCCTCGCCCCATTTTAGGAGGAGGGCTTTGAGGGGATAAGGGAGGAGATTGATTCCTTGAGATGCTGCAGCAGTGCAACCACCCCAATGCTGTGCCTCCTTCACGCCCCTTCCCTCCGTCCTCCCCACTCTCCCCTTTCCTCTCTCCTCTTCTTGTTGTTCCATCTCAGGAGGAGGGATTCGAGGAGATAAGGGGGGAGATCGAGATGCTGCAGCAGTGCAACCACCCCAATGTCGTGCACCCTGTGTTCCCACCCTTTTTCTCAATCCACTTTCTCCTCTTTCCTCCTCTTCCTTGCTCGACAGGAGGAGGTATTTGAGGAGATAAGGGGAGAGATCGAGATGCTGCAGCAGTGCAACCACCCCAACGTCGTGTACCCTCCTTGACCTTCCTTCTCCTCCTCTCATCCTCATTCCCCTTTGCTCCACTCCCTCCCCTTGTGCCTCAATCTCAGGAGGAGGGATTTGAGGAGATAAGGGGAGAGATCGAGATGCTGCAGCAGTGCAACCACCCCAACGTCGTGCGCTACCATGGCAGCTACCAGGGAGACGACTTCCTCTGGGTGAGTAGATCCGATTTGATCTGATATGATATGCATCGAGATGCTGCAGCAGTGTGGGTGAGTGAGTGGATTCGGTTAAATCGAATGAATCCCCTTTCTATTATGGGTAGGTAGCTACCAGGGAAATGATGGAGATCAGCCTAACGTGAAATTTGGGTCGATTTTGCTCACTCTGAAGAGTATTGCAAACACGACCTCTTTGTGAGGCCGATTTGGTGGCATCATGGCATCGCTGGCCTCTTGTGTTGCCTTGCCCACCCCCGTCGTTTGCTGTTCGTGAGAATTCTCGGAAAACAACACCCCTTTGTTGTCCCCCCTGCTCCCGCTTTCTGCCGTTCCTCCCAACCACACCCCCATCCCATGTCCACCAGATTGTGAGCTGATCTCATGAACAACACGGACTCGCCTCTCCTCTCTTCATTGCCTTACCCTACACTCCCTCCCCCTTCCCGTCTTTCCCCACCAACCACACCCCCATCCCATGTCCACCAGATCGTGATGGAGTACTGTGGTGGGGGCAGTGTGGCTGACCTCATGAACAACACGGACTGTCCCTCTCCTTGTTGCTTTGTCTCTCTGCCCGCCCCTGCCTTCCCCACCTCACCCTTCTCTAACCCCAAACACCCCCCTCCCTTGCTGAACAGATCGTGATGGAGTACTGTGGTGGGGGCAGCGTGGCTGATCTCATGAACAACACGGACTGTCCCTCTCCTTGTTGCCTTTCCCTGCACACCGTCCCTTCCCCGTCTCCTCCCACCAAACACCCCCATCCCATCCCATGCCAACCAACCAGATTGTGCTGGAGTACTGTTGTGGTGGCGGCAGTGTGGCTGACCTTATGAACAACGCGGACTCGCCCCTTTCCTCTCTTCGTTACCCTACACTCGCTCCCACCAAACACCCTTCCCCTGAAACAGATTGTGATGGAGTACTGTGGTGGCGGCAGTGTGGCTGACCTCATGAACAACACGGACTCTCCTCATCCTTATTGCCTTCTGTCGCCCCCTGCACCGTCCCCCCAACCCAACCCCCTTCCCCGTTCTGCCAACCAGATTGTGATGGAGTACTGTGGTGGCGGCAGCGTGGCTGACCTCATGAACAACACGGACTCGCCGCTTGAGGAGGGCATGATTGCCTACGTCTGCCGGGAGTCTATTAAGGTACGTGGGAGGCATGGCAGGCAATCAACGATGGTGGCTGGGTGGGAGTCCAACAAGGTAAGTAAGAGTCAAGCAAGTAAGAGTCAAGCAAGTGGAAGGGTAAGCGGCAGATCATGCTCCCTCCTCTTCCTGCTCTCAAGTCAACCCCAAGCCATGAACCGTAGGCCCAAGCCATCATTGCAATCATCCTGATTGCAAAACTCTGAACTCTATTCCCCCCCCTCAATCAATCAGGGCCTTGCATACCTGCACTCACCATTCTCACCTCCCTAAACCCCAAACCCTAATCCTTGAACCCTCTCAGGGCCTGGCGTATCTGCACGAGATCGGCAAGGTGCATCGAGCCATCAAGGGAGGGCGGCAACATCCTGCTCAGCGACTCTTGCTGTCCCTGCTGCCCTCTCTCCCTTCGTTAACCCAAAAGATTGACGCTGGGGCTCTAAACCCGAAACCCTAATCCCCCTCAGGGCCTGGCCTACCTGCACGAGATAGGCAAGGTGCATCGGGACATCAAGGGCGGGCGGCAACATCCTGCTGAGCGACCCACAGCAGCACTTGCTGCCCTCTCCCCTCCCTGCACCAATAGCCTCCTGTAACCCCAAACCCTTTCCGAATGAAACCCTAATCCCTCTCAGGGCCTGGCCTACCTGCATGAGATCGGCAAGGTGCATCGAGACATCAAGGGAGGCAACATCCTGCTCAGCGACTCGGGAGCGATCAAGCTGCCCTCTCTCTCCTCCTGAACCCAAAACTTTGAATATTGGTCTCTATACCCTGAACCCTGATCCCTTCAGGGCCTGGCCTACCTGCACGAGATAGGCAAGGTGCATCGCGACATCAAGGGAGGCAACATTCTGCTGAGCGATTCGGGGGAGATCAAGCTGGGCGACTTTGGGGTGGCGGCACAGCTGACTCGTACCATGTCCAAACGCAACACGGTGAGGAGCGGTGCAGTGTGGTGACAAGCGGTTCTTATGCGAATTAATGCAGTGTAGGGCGGTGGTGTGTGGCGCTCTGAGCACCTAGGGCGGTCTAGATAGGAAAGGGCAACATTCTGCTGAGCGACTCGGGGGAGATCAAGCTGGGCAACTTTGGGGTGGCGGCACACCTGACCCGCACCATGTCCAAACGCAACACGGTGAGGAGCGGTGCCGTGTGGTGGAGTGGGGTTTTGTATAGAGCGGTGGGTTGATGAGGTGAGGAGGAGCAGTGGTGGGATGCGATCATCTCACAGCTCACTCACACCATTTCCAAACGCGGTGAAGAGCGGTGAAGAGCGGTGACGTGGGGTTTTGTGCGGTGAATAGGGCTGGTGTAGCAGTGGCAGTGCTTGACAGGCGCAAAGTGGCCCGGGTCACTCGCACCATGTCCAAGCGTAACACGGTGGGGTGGGGTGGGGTGGGTGGGTGGGGTGGGTGGGGTGGGGGGGTCGAAGCTGAGATTCTGTGTCAGGTGTAGTGTGGGAAGGGAAGGTGAGGGCCTGAATAGCTTGCAAGGCGGCAGAGCTCACTCGCACCATGTCCTAGTTTTGAGGCGCCTAAAAAATAGCTTGCAAGGCGGCAGAGCTCACTCGCTTGCACCATGTCCTAGCGCGACACAGTGGCGTCACAGGTGGGGTGGGTGGGGTGGGTTGGGATGGGGTGGGATGGGGTGGGATGGGATGGGGTGGGGTGGGGTGGGGTGAGGTGGGATGGGGTGGGGTGGGGTGAGGTGGGATGGGGTGGGGTGGGATGGGGAGGGGTCTTGTGGGTGAAGGAGGATTGTTGGGATGGCGTGCTATCTGATCTGACTGGCGGCACAGCTTGCACTAGAGGCAATCATGACTCCCCCTACCCCCCTACATTGGTGCGACTTTTGAGAATTCTCAAAAGTTGCTATCTGACTGGCGGTACAACTTGCACTAGAGGCAATCATGACTCCCTCTACCCCCCTTCCCCATCCCCTTGCAATTCATCAGCACACCCCATTGGATTGCACCGGAGGTGATTCAGGGGTGTCTCTACTAGAGGCGCTTGCAACACCTTTTTCCCCTTTCGTCACCTTTCCTGTACCCCACCCCTTCCCCCCCCTCCTCCCCTCTCTCCTCCCCCCGCCCTTCTGTCCCCCCCTTTTCCTTGCCTGCAGTTCATAGGCACGCCCCACTGGATGGCACCGGAGGTGATTTAGGAGAGTCTGTACGCTCATCGTCCGCCTTCTTCCCCTCCCCCCCCCCTTTCCTGTGCCCCCCTCCCCCCACGCCCCTTTCCCCTCGCCTGCAGTTGATAGGCACGTCCCACTGGATGGCACCGGAGGTGATTCAGGAGAGTCTGTGACAGAGGCACATACAACACCCAATAAAGCATGCTCAACCCCGCTCCCCTCTTTCTCCGCTCCCCTCTTTCTCCGCTTACCTTCTCCCCCTTTTCCTCGCCTGCAGTTCATAGGCACGCCCCACTGGATGGCACCGGAGGTGATTCAGGAGAGTCTGTACGACGGCAAGGTGGACGTGTGGGCGCTGGGCATCACTGCCATCGAAATGGCCGAGGTGCGCATCACCCTAGGGAACAGTTTTTGAGATGCCTCAATAATAGATCGGGCATCACAGCCATTGAAATGGCCGAGGTACGCCCTGCATGCTCCGTATGTGTTCCGTAGGCGGTATAGTGTATGCCTTGCCTGGTCAACAGCAGCGCAGACTGGTTGTATTGTATGTAAGACCCACGCGCGCGACACGCCCTTCCTTGCACTAGGTACGACGGCAAGGTGGGCGTGTGGGCGCTGGGCATGAGAGCCATTGAGAAGGCCGAGGTATGTACTAGGCAGCACCGGGTACCCCTTGCCCCTTGTCAGCTTGTCCGGGGCAGCACAGATAGGCTATGAGGGGTACACGGCCATTGAGTCTGTATGTAGTGTGTGAAGATTGTAGGTCGGGGCGGGTGCACATCATAGCGTACATCAGCGACCCGGCGAGCTCAGCATAGGGGCGAGTGGAGGAGGAGGGAGAGGTGGGTGGGGCAAGTTGGTGGCCGAAAAGGAGGGGGGTGGCCATAGGACTGGCCTGCGCCATCTCGAACTTCTCCAAGACCTGGCCGATGTAATGGGACTGGGAGAGGGTGATGGTGCGAGCAGGACGGTCACGAGTGATAGCCATGCCCAGGTAGTGCGTGAGGTCGCCCATGTCCTTGCACTTGAGGCGCTGCTGCAGCTGCTGCTTCATCTGCTCCATGTCAGCCGTGGAGTCAGCGAGCAGGATCATGTCATCCACATACACCAGAATGAAGAAGCGGCGAGGTGAAGAGCGAAGGAAGAGACTGGCGTCATAATGCGAGGCAGAGAAGCCGAGGGACCCCAGGGTGGCAGACAGCTTCGCGTGCCACTCCCTTGGCGCCTGCTTCAACCCGTAGACAGGTCGACGCAGCTGCCACACAGTCTTCTCTGGAAAGGCGGCGTGGAACCCGGGGGGCCGCCGGAGGAAGATGCGCTCGTGCAGGTCCCCTTGCAGGAACGCGTTGGAGACGTCCATGGAGCAGATCTCCATGTCGTCGCGCGCACCAACGTCGAGGAGGGTGCGGAGGGTGGGCGGCTTGGCGGTGGGGGCGTAGGTGAACCAGTAATCCTCAGCCCGAGTCTGGGTGAAACCCTTAGCGCAGTAGCGGGCCTTGTAGACCGGATTCTCACCCGGCAGCTGCTTCACCCGAAAGACCCACTTGCCCTCGACAAGGTTGGCGTCGGTCGGGAGGGGGACATCAACGAAGGAGTCGTTGCGAATGAATGCGTCACACTCCAGGAAGATTGCCGCTATCCACTTGTCCGCATCAGGGCAGGTGATGGCCTCTTGAAAGGTGGAGGGAGTGAAGATGGTGGGGGTGGAGGTGGCGCAAAGGACGGGAAGGCCAAGGAAGTCAATGAAGATGGAGGCAAGGAAAGAAGAGTGGTGCCGAATGTTGAGGAACTCCTCATGGGAGTCCTCAAAGAGCTGGATGGAGGCGGGAGGAGGGGCTCCAATGAGTTTGTCCAGGGAGCGGGTGTGCATGCAGGGAGGAGGAAAGGGGAGGAGCGGGAAGTTGCTCGGTGCTGCTGCCGCTGCTGCCCCTGCTGCTGCTGCTGCTGCCCCTGCTGCTGACCCGGCTGCTGCTGCTGCTGCTGACCCGGCTACTGCTGCTGCTGCTGCTGCTGCTACCCGTGCTGCTGACCCGGATGCTGCTGCTGCTGCTGTTGCTGCTGCTGCTGCTGTTGCTGCTGCTGCTGCTGCCCGTGCTGCTGACCCGGATGCTGCTGCTGCTGCTGGCCCGGCCGCTGCAGAGAAGGGGGAGAGTGAGAGGAGGAGGGAGAGGGGGGAGGGGGCGCAGCTGAGTGGGCCGGGGAGGCGAGTGCGGCGGGGTCGTAGACGTCGGCAGAGGAGGACGGAGGGAGTGGAGCGGCAACAGGGGGGAGGAGAGGAGCGGGAGGGAGGAGAGGAGGGAGGACAGTGTCGGTCCAGGCGAGGGGGCAAGAGGGAGGAGGGAGAGGGTCAGGAGGAGGAGTGGAGTAGTAGGGAATGGACTCGTCAAAGACGACGTCAATACTGCGGATGAGGCGGTTGGTGGGAGGGTGGAGGAGCAGGTAGCTTGGGGAGTCGCGATTGTGCCCGAGGTAGACGCACTCCAGGGCACGAGGGGCGAGCTTGCCTGCGGCGCGGGAGCGATCGGCCGGAGGGATGAGGACGAAGGACTTGCAGCCCCAAACACGAAGGCCGGCAGCGTCAGGCTTGGCCTTAGACCAGAGTTCTGTGGGGGAGGAGGAGGGATGCTGAGGGTGGGAGCGAAGATTGAGGAGGAGGGCGGCATGGAGGAGGGCGTAGCTCCAAAGGGAAGGAGGGTTGGAGGCGTGAGCAATGAGGCAACGGGCAATTTTGGTGATTTCACGGATGCGACTCTCAGCAATGTCATTTTGCTTAGGGGAGTGGGGGAGGGTGGAGGTTTGCTGAATGCCATGAGTTTTGCAGAAGGTGGCGATGGTGTTGTTGATGAACTCACCCCCACCGTCAGAGTGAAGGCGTCCAATGGGGCGTTTGAAGTGAGTGCGGCATTGCTCAGCCCAGTTGATGACCACAGCCGGCACCTGGTCTTTGGTGTGGAGGAAGAAGACAGTGGAGTACCGACTGTGGTCGTCGACGAGGACGAGCATGTACCGGTGCCCCTGACGGGAGTGGATGGGATAGGGACCCCAGAGATCCATGTGGACAAGGTCAATGGGAGCGGCAGCAAAGGTGGGATGGCTGTGATGGGGGGACTTTTTGAGCTTGCCATGAATGCATGATGGGCATGGGGGAGCAGGGGAGGAGGGGAGGGGAGGTAAGGTGGGAGGGAGGCTGTGAAGGAGGCGAGAGGTGACAGTGGTGCGAAGTGCGGCGAAGTTGGGATGGCCGAGTCTGTGATGTAAAATGACTGCTGGGTGGGAGAGGGCAGTAGAGGAGGAGGGGGATGGGGTGGGAGAAGAGGTGGGGAGGGAGGAGGAGGGGGGTGAAGTAGGGGAGGAGGATACCTGAGGGGGAGGGAGAGGGGGAGGAGGACCGGTGGAAGTACCAGCACGAGTGGTAACATGACAGAAAGAGGGACAGGGTGTGCGGAGCGTGTAAAGGCGACTGCGAGGGCAGAGGGGAATGCGCAGAAGGAAGCGACCAGAGGCTGTGTGATAGAGATCACAGTAAGTAGCAAAACCAGGGTAAATGGCGGTAATACCAACACCTTGGAGCTCTCGGTGAGAGAGGAGGTTGTTGCGAAGAGTAGGGATGTGGAGATCTGTGACCTTACCGGAGGGGAAAGCGGTGCAAGGGAGGGTGGAGAGGTGAGTGCATGGGATGGAGAAGCTGGAGTCAGCACCATGAACTTGGGTGGGAAGTGGAAGGGGGGTGAGGGTGCCAGCGTCTTTGAGTGCAGTTTCTGTGGCCCCACTGTCAAGGACAAAATCCAAGGTGGGGGAGGAAGGAGGGGGAGGTGACACGGGGTACTAGAAAGACATCTCATTGATAGCAGAGGGATACATGGAAGCGACGGATGGTGCAACAGCAACATGACCAAAGAAACTGCCCTGGAAGTCAGGGACACTAGGGGGGGCAGAGGGGATGGAACCCCAGGGGGGGGGAGCAAGGGAGGCATTAGCGGCCATGGCCGCTGTGCTGAAGGTCATCGGCTGCTGCTGCCACTGCGGCTGAAGGTACTGCGGCGGCTGCTGCTGCTGGAAGAACTGCTGCTGCGGTGGCTGCTGCGGCTGGAGAAACTGCGGTTGCTGCTGCTGTGGGAAGTACTGCTGCTGCTGGTGCTGCTGAAACTGCTGCAGCTGGGAAGGGGGGGAGGGGGTGAGCAGGCGGAGGTGGGCGGGGAGGAAGGAGGGGAGGGTCTGAATGTCGACGAGGGAGGGGCGAGGGGTAACACTGTTCCAGCGAGGAGGGGTACCAGTGTTGCCGCGGTCGAACCAGGCGTCATCAAATGCCTTGAAGCATGTGGCAGGGGGGTGGTTGGTCTGACCACACGGCGTGCCGGCGTGGGGACCATGACGGCGAACGTACGTGCAGGGGGGGAGGGTCCCAGGGCGACCACCACAGCTCACAGCTCCACCGGTACCAGAGGAACCTACAGGAGTGGTACCACCAGGACCACCACCACCACCACCACCACCACCACCACCACCACCACCACCACCACCACCACCACCACCACGGCCACTACGGCCACCACCGCCACCACCCCGACCACCACCACCACCGCCGCCCCCTCCACGACCCCCTCCGCCGCCGTTGCGACCACCCTGGTTGCGCGGCTGCGTGGCATTGAGGGAAGTGGAGGAAGAAGAACTGGTGGTGAGGTTGACAATGGGGGTGCGGAGCTTGACTTCCGTGTCAATGATCCACTGAGTCACCTCGGTGAGGCCAGCCAAGGGGTTTGCCTCGGTGAAGGCGTGCAGGCGGGACTCGTAGTCCGGCGTGAGGTTGAAGAGCAGACGATGAATCTGCAGGGGCTCGGAAAGGGCAGCCTTGCGAGCGGCAAGGCGATCGGCTACCTCCTGCATGCGCCCCACGTAGTCGACTGCGCCGTCGCAAGTGGCGAGAGAAATGGAGAAGTACTCCTGGAAGAGAACGCCGACGGAGCTGATGTCGTGGCGCTCGAACATAGACTAAAGCTCGGTCCAAATCAGGTGAGCTCGCATCTCACGAGCTTGGAAGCGGCGCATGAGGGCGTCGGGGAGTGCACCGAGGAGGATGGTGCAGTCGCGGTTGTCGGCAGCGGCCCAAGAGATGCTGTTGGGGATGTAAGTCGCCATGGAGGTGTTGTAATCCGCAAGCAGCTCCAGGCGAGTGGCACGCTCCGATGATGCAAATTCGTGGTTGAGCACAGCAACGTCATGGTCGGCTTTGCGGATGAGGTATTCGCGGCGGCTGTGGAGGAAAGTGGCGTCCGCAGCAGCCTGAACCTCGGGGGTAGCGGCCACGTCGAGGGTAGGCTCATGAGGAGGGGGGCCAGGAAAGGGAGGGAGAGGAGGAGGTTCACCAGGGTGATTGGGTGCGGTCGGCTGGAGAGCCTGCGGATGGCGGAGGAGAACGTCAAGGACGCAGTAGGGTCCGACGAAGGCGTCCTGAAGGACACGGCGAATGCTGCCGACGCACAAGTGCCAGTTGATGGAGGAGCGATCTGCAGCAAGCTGCAACCTGTCGACCGAGGAGGCGTCGATGGGAGGGGGGAGAGGAGCAGGAGGGGTGGTAGCCATGGTGGGCGGCGGCGGGTGGACCCGCGGCGGCCAAGGGGGAGACGACGGCCGGTGGACCCGCGGCGGTCAAGGGGGAGGCGACAGCGGGTGGACCCGCGGCGGCCAGGGGGAGGGGGGGGGGGGGCGCTGCAGCTGGAGCTGGTGCACGCCGTCGGCTGCTGCTGCTGCTGGACCTCTCCGGCTGTTGCTGCTGCTGCCGCTGCCGCCGCTGCTGCCGCTGCGGCCGCTGCTGCTGCCGCTGCTGCCGCTGCTGCCGCTGCTGCTGTTGCCGAGGAGAGGGGAGAGGGAGAGGAGGAGGGAGAGGGGGGGGGGGGGGGGGAAGGAGGATGCAGTCACAGGTGCGGCTGCCGCTGCTGCCGCTGCTGCTGCTGCTGCGAGGAGAGGGGAGAGGGAGGGGGAAAGGAGGATGCAGTCGCTGCTGACGCTGCTGCCACTGGTGACGCTGCTGCTACTGCTCCGCTGCTGCCACTGCTGCCACTGCTGCGCTGCTGCCGCTGCTGCCACTGCTGCGCTGCTGCCGCTGCTGCCACTGCTCCACTGCTGCCGCTGCTGCCACTGCTCCGCTGCTGCCGCTGCTGCCACTGCTCCGCTGCTGCCGTTGCTGCCACTGCTGCTGCAGCTGAGATGGCGGGGAGAGAGCGGTGAGGGGGAGGGGGGAGGGTGGAGTGGCGGCGGAATATGCAGGGGGGTGACGGGGTCGCGGTAGCGGGATGGGCAGGTGGCGACGATGTGGTCGCGGCGGCGGAACCCGCGGGCGGCGACGGCGCGGTCACGGCGGAGAGGGGGAGTAGTCGCGGTGGCGGGATGTGCAGGCGGCGACACGCAGTCGCGGCGGGGGGAATTGGAGGCGGCGGCGGTGCAGTCACGGCGGCGGAAATTGCGGGCGACGGCGGTGCAGTCGCGGCGGCGGGACGTGCAGGCGACGACGGGACAGTTGCGGCGGTTGGGAGTGCAGGCGGCGACGTGAAGTCGCGGCGGCGGGACGGGCAGGCGACGACGCGCATCTGCGGCGGCTGGTGCAGCAGGCGGCGACGACGTGGTCGCGGCGGCGGGACGGGCAGGCGGCGACGAGAAGGTTGCGGCGGGGGAAGGGCCAGGCGGCGACGGCGTGGTCGCGGCGGCTGGAAGGGCAGGCGGCGACGAAAAAAGATCGCGGCGGCTGGGAGGGCAGGCGGCGACGGAAAGGTCGCGGCGGCTGGGAGGGCAGGCGGCGGCTGGGAGGGCAGGCGGCGACGGATAGGTCGCGGCGGCTGGGAGGGCAGGCAGCGACGGAAAGGTCGCGGCGGCTGGGAGGGCAGGCGGCTGGGAGGGCAGGCAGCGACGGAAAGGTCGCGGCGGCGAGAGCAGAGGGCGGCGACAGAGCGGTCGCGGCGGTGAAATTCGCGGGCGGAGAGGCGCGGGCGGCGAAATCCGCGGGACGCGGCGGCGAAATCCGCGGCGGAATCGCGGCGGTGGAAATCGCGGAGGGAGGGGGAGGAAAGGGGCCGCGGCGGAAAGGCACGGGCGGCGGCGAAGAGGCCGCGGCGGGAAAGCGCCGGGATGGGGACGGGGCGAGGGGGACGACGGCGACGGAAAGGTCGCGGTGGGAGGGGAGGACGACGGCGACGGTGGTGTCGCGGCGTGAGGGAAGCGGATGGTGGGCCCTTGGGAAAAAAAAACTGGAGGGGGGAGTTAAGGCCTAGGCAAAATTTAGCTCTATACCATGTGAAGGTTGTAAAGTGAATCATTAGCTTCATTAGGAAACAAAAGGGAGCATACATAGGATGCAAGAGAAGCTTGGAAGGGAAGGGGAGGGAGGTGTTGCTTGGGGGAGTAGGCCAACCTATGGCCCATTGGGGTAGGATGGCCACACTTGGAGAGTGGGCCAACCTGGCCGAGATGCGCGCCCTGCCTTGTCAGTAGGTATGCCCTAGGCAGCACGTTATATGCCTTGCCTTGGAACGCCTATAGTCTGTGCGATGGCAAGGTGGGCGTGTGGGCGCTCACTGGGCATCACAGCCATTGAAATGGCCGAGGTACGCCTTGCATGCTCGCAGTCTGTGTGTATGTATGTATGCCCTGGACAGCACATCGCATGCCTTGCCTTGTCAGCGGCAGCGAAATGGTATGTCATGCATTCCCGATGGCAGCACAGCACAGGGTATGTGCCACGTGGCAACCACCTTTCCCATCACACCATGCCGTCCCTCCCCCCCTTTCCCTTCCCCGCCCGTGCCATCCCCACCAACCACCCGTGTGAGCGCAGGGCCTGCCACCACAATCCAACATCCATCCCATGCGAGTGGGTGCAGAGGCGCCCCAAAGTCATCACCATATGCCATCCCCCTTTCCCCACTTCCCCCCCTTCTTCTCTTTCCCTCCCCCCACCGTGCCATCCCCACCGTGCCATCCCCACCAACCACCCGTGTGAGAGCAGGGCCTGCCACCGCGATCCAACATCCATCCCATGCGAGTGAGTGCTTGCTTGCCTAAGCCATCCCTCCCTTGTTTGCTGTCCTATTCATGCACTAAGCCATCCACTCTGTCATTGAAAGAATCATATGCTGTGTTCGCCACAACATGTTTGCCACAACATGTTTGCCACAACATGTTTGCCACAACATGTTCGCCACAACATGTTTGCCAGGTATGGAGCTTCTTTCTAGACAAGTAATTCGCCCCTTTTCACTCCTCTCCACCCTCCTTAACCGCTATCCACCCTTCTTCACCCCTCCCCGCCCACTCTTCCAGGTGCTTTTCATGATCTCCAGAGAACCTTCACCCACATTAGAGGACCCCGAGAAATGGTGAGTGATTCTCCAGGTGATGCTCTTTCTCGATTCAATAGAACCTTCCCCCACATTTCGTCTATCTGTTCATGCTGAGTCACCTGGAAAGTTTTTAGAGGCTCCTCGAAAGCTCTTCCTACCAGTTTCTTCTAACTGTTTGCGCTGATATCCCCCTCTGACCATTTCTCGAATCTCTCTTTCGGGGCGCCTCAAAACTGCTTTCAAGGCGCCATGGTTAAAAAAACTGCTTTTGGCGCCTAAAAAATTGATCACTCTGAGATCCCTCCCTCCCTGTGTGCAACTTGAAGCTCTCTATCTTCTGATTGTTAAATGATGTGCGTATTTTGAACTGAACCACATTACACCGCATAATACCTCATCATACCGCACACTATCCGCTCCTCGCCCTTCAGGTCCCTCCTGTTCCACGATTTTGTGGCCAAGTGTTCAATCAAGGAGCCCAAGCAGCGCCCCACCACACCACGCCAGCTGAACCACATTGTACCTTCATTGTACTGCATTATACCGCACATTATTCCCGCAGGTCCCTGCTGTTCCACGATTTCGTGGCCAAGTGTTTGATCAAGGAGCCCAAGCAGCGCCCCACCACGCCAGCACTGCTGCAGCACAAGTTCATCGAGCGGTGCAAGGACACGGCTGTGGTGCTCAAGAAGCGGATCGACCAGGCCAAGGCGATGAGAGAAGAGGCGAAGAAGCAGCGGCTAGCTGCCGCTGCCCTGGAGGAGCAGAACAGCGTTTCGGAAGATGTGAGTTTCTCAGGGCAGCAGAGTGGTTGGTAGCCTGTGGTAACGAGGTTGCTTACAGTTACAGGTACGGGTGTACCCAGCACTGCTGCAGCACAAGTTCATCGAGCGGTGCAAGGACACGGGCTGTGGTGCTCAAGAAGCGGATCGACCAGGCCAAGGCGATGAGAGAAGAGGTAACGAAACAGTGGCTAGCGGCCGCTGCTTTGGAGGAGCAGAACAGCGTCTTGGAGGATGTGAGTGTTGGTGGTAGAGAGAGCAGATGGGTGGTTTGCATGCTTAGGCACATGCCACCCGCGCATGATTAAATCCTTGTTAGTTAGTCCATCTCTATCCCTCTCACGTCCCTCTCCCGCCCCTCTCACGTCCCTCCATGTCGACTTAGTCCATGCTTCACAGGCCCAGGCACAGGCACAGGCACAGGCACAGGCACAGGCACAGGCACAGGCACAGGCACAGGCACAGGCACAGGCACAGGCACAGGCACAGGCACAGGCACAGGCACAGGCACAGCAAAGCCAACAGGAGATGCTGTGGGGGGAAGGGAGCCTTCCATTCCACCCACTAGTGGATACATTTTCTGAACCTACATCTCTTTCTACTCCTCTCTGTATCCCTCTTTATCCCTTTCAACCCTCTCCCACCCTCCGTGTGGGTGCAGTGCAGCCCATGGGCACGGGCACAGTGAAGCAGAGGGGAGGCAGCATGGGGGGGACAGTGAAGGCAGCAGCGCTTAGCTGTGTCTTTTCCCCTTCCCTGCGTCCTTCCCCTTTTTCCTCCCCCATGGCCATTTCGGTCCCCCAGTCTATGGGCACAGGCACAGTGAAGCAGAGGGGAGACGCCATGGGGGGGACTGTGAAGGCCCGCTCTGCTCCCTCCGCCTATGCTGATGATGATGACACCTCCATCCCTCTACTAACCTCTCTATCCCTCTCCATCTCTCTGCTTCGCCTCCCCCCTCCATTGCAGTCCATGGGCACAGGCACGGTGAAGCAGAGGGGGGACGCCATGGGGGGGACAGTGAAGGCACGCTCTGCTCCCTCCGCCTATGCTGATGATGACGAACCTGGTGGGTACCAATTGGGGTAGGTGGTGACTGTGGTAGGTGGGACTGTGAAGGCACGATCTACACCATCCGCCTATGCTGATGATGACGAACCTGGTGGGTGCCAATCGGGGTAGGTGGTGACTGGGGTAGGTGGGAGCTGGGGTAGGTGGTGACTGGGGTAGGTGGTGACTGGGGTAGGTGGTGACTGGGGTAGGTGGTGTGGTGACTGGGGTAGGTGGTGATTGGGGTAGGTGGGACAGTGAAGGCTCGCTCTACACCATCAGCCTATGCTGATGACAATGAACCTGGTGGGTGCTATGCTATGTTGGGGAGTGTATCCAAATGGTCCCTCCCATCAACTCCTTCCTCTCTTCCCTAAGTTGAAATCACTCTTGAGAATTCTCAAAACAGGTTAGGTGGGTTGGTAGGTACCCGCTGTCAACTCCTTCCTCTCTTGCCTCCCCCTTCCTAAACCACCCCATCCCACTCATTTCAATCTATATGAGTCAGACTTACGTGTCAAGTACTCAGAATTTTTTTAGCCGTCTCAGAAAACAAGTTTTTGAGCAATGACTCTTTATCCGCTCACTACCCCCCCTAGTATCCTGCCCCAACCCCACTCACCCAAACACAGATTTCAGCACGTTTGTGAACAAGGATTAAAAAATATGCTGACCCTGTTGTTTCCTTCCCCGCGTTCCCTCTTCCCTCCCATCCTCCTCCTATCCCTGCAAACCCACACAATACATCCCAGACTGAACAAGGACTATGAATCCGAGGATGAGGCGATGGATGGACACGGGCAGACTTTTGAGGCGATGGATGGACACGGGCAGACTTTTGAGGCGATGGATGGACACGGGCAGACTCAAAAGTCACCTCGGATGAGGCGATGGACACGGGCACGGTACCCTTCGACTGACCCCGTTTGTTCTCTCCCTCTTTCCTCCCCCCCTCCCCCCCACCCTCTTCCCCTCCACACAGATTTCGGCACGTTTGTGAACAAGGACTATGAGTCCGAGGATGAGGCCATGGACACGGGCACGATGCGCGTCGCCAAGTCAGACGAGCCGTCCGCCAAGTCAGCAGCCGCTACGTCAGCAGCAGAGGGCGTGGAGTCGTCTTCTGATAACATCGGTGCGGCGCTGGCAGCGCTGGGGGGGCAGCGCAAGGCCAAGCCGGCCCAGGCCAAGTGAGTGGGCGTTAGGGATGGTCAGTGATTTGAAAAGTCTCACATCGTGTGTCATTCTGGAGCATGCAAAGGTTAATACAGATAACATCGGCGCAGCGCTGGCAGCGCTGGGGGGGCAGCGCAAGGCCAAGCCGGCCCAGGCCAAGTGAGTGTGTGTGGGGTGGTGGCGGTATTGTGGTGGTTGGTTGGGTGTGCACAATGCGGAGAAGGTGTGGCGTCGGCAGCAGCAGAGGGCATGGAATCGCCTTCCGATAACATCGGTGCAGTGCTGGCAGCGCTGGGGGGGCAGCGCAAGGCCAAGCCAGCACAGCCCAAGTGAGTGCACGCTTCGAAGCAAGCAGCAGCAGCAGGCATGGAGCTAGAAGCCAAGAGGAGGAAGGGCACGGATTCCTTTTGGGGGGGCTATGTCAGGCAACCCCTCCCCTCCCCTCCCCCCATCCTTCCCCTCTCCAGGTCCGCCCCAGCGCGCCGATCAGAGCGACCACCTGTCCCGCCGAAGCAAGCAGCAGCAGCGGGCATGGAGCTAGAAGCGAAGAGGAGGAAGGGCACGGACTTCTTCGCGGGGGCAAGACAGGCCATGGAGGATGGGACGAGGCAGGCCATTGCTGACAGCACCCGACCCGCTCAGCGAGCCAGCCCTGGGCTGCAGGATAAGGTGGGTTGGTGGGGGGGACTTGTGTGTGTGCTGCCTCAGCATTCACACCAGATGGGGCAAGGCAGGCTATGGAGGATGGGACGAGGCAGGCCATTGCTGACAGCACCCGACCCGCTCAGCGAGCCAGCCCTGGGCTGCAGAATAAGGTATGGCAATGGCAAGATATGGGCGGGCCGCGGCAGCGTAAGGTATGGCACCAATGAAGGCTGCAGCTGAAAACAGTGTGCGCTGCTTCAGCATTCACTAGATTTGAGAATGCCGCATGTCGGGGCTTCCTGCAGCATTGCCTTCAAAACTATGCCGCATGAAGCCCCGACAAAGCTCCTTTTGACCCTCCTCTTCCCTGTCCACCCCTTGCTCTTTATCCCTTCCCTTTTCTTTCCACTTCCCTCTCCCTCCCTCTGCTCATGCAGCTATCAGCGGTGTATGCAGCAACACAGTCCCCATCCCCTTCCTCTGCTCCTGCGACATCTCCCCTCTCTCCCTCAACAGAGCTCCCTTTCACCCTCTTTCCTCCACTTCGAACCTTCAACCTTTTGCTTGCCCTCCACCCTCCCTTTCCCCCCCCCCTCCGCCCCCCCACCCCTCATGCAGCTATCAGCAGTGTATGCAGCGGGCAACACAGTCCCCATCCCCTTCCTCCGAGCATGCGACATCTCTCCTCTCGCCCTCATCGCCTCATCCGGCCCCGACGGGGCGCCCTTTGACCAGTGTGGTCTGGAGGCGATTCAGGAGCTGTCAGGGAGCGGTGGGCTGGCAGGCAGCAAGGGCGCCAGACGAACACCTGCTGCAGAGGTGAGTGGCAGGCCCTCACGCTGTGTCGTGTTCCTTGATATTGATACAATGGGGGGTTACAAGGCCCGACGGGGCTCCCTTTGACCAGTGTGGGCTGGAGGCGATACAGGAGCTGTCGGGGAGCGGAGGGCTGGCAGGCAGTAAAGGCGCCAGACGAACCCCCGCTGCTGAGGTGAGGACGAGGAGAGGAGAAGCATGTGTTTTCCCGGTCCTTGTACTGGCTTGTGCTGGGCTGTGCTAGCTTGTGCTGGCCGTGCTGTGCTGGTCCTGCTGGTACTGCTGGTTGTCCAATGGAGGGTTTCAAGGCCCCGACGGGGCTCCCTTTGAGGAGTGGTGGGCTGGCAGAAAGCAAATTTACGTCCCATTCCCAATACACGCTTTTCCCACTACACCCCATTCCCACTACACCCCATTTCCATTACACCCCATTTCCATTACACCCTATTTCCATTACACCCCATTCCCACTACACCCCATTTCCATTACACCCCACTTCCATTACACCTCATTTCCATTACACCTCATTTCCATTACACCCCATTTCGACCGCGCTCCATTCCCAGTGCAGCTCCCCCCAACCCCAAGGAGAGTAGTCAACAGGCCTTTCCTTCTTAAGGGCCCTTTTTAATGTCCTCCCATTTTCACTACACCCTATTCCCACCACACCCCATTTCTGCTACACCCCATTCCCACTGCAGGTCCCTCTACCCCCCAGTGTGTACCGCAGACTAGCCAACAGCACCACCCTTCCCAATCTCGCCCGAGCTTTGGCCTACCATAAACAGTACGTGATGTTCCTTATAATGAGTATTGGTTGTGCACTGTCTACTGTGTGTGTGGGACTGTGTATGGACCATGACTTGTGTGTGGTGGATAAATGTACACACACACAACACACACACAACACACCCACACACACACACGCACGCACGCACGCACGCACGCACGAGCGCGCGTGCGCACACACACGCACACTCACTCACACACACTCAGAACCAGCAGTGTAACGTGCTGCTTCCACTTTGTGCTTCCATCTCCCACATGCTCCTCTCCTGCTGCTCCTGGCGGCTCCCTTCTCGCCTTGTGTAAGATGCTGCGCATACATTTGTGCGGCGCTGCATACATGGTGCCTCTTGTTAGACACTCCATTCCGTTTCTCCCTTGCCACTCTTTCCTATCCGTTCTTGTGCCTCTGTGTCCTCCATATAAGGTGTTTGGACGAGATGCCTCTACAAGGATGGCAAGTAACGCAAGAGAAGGCCATAATACACAACTTATCTGACACCATTCGAACCATTCTCCGTCTCTAGTTCTTCTTAAGCATATATTGGTGAAACTTATGGTGCATCTCGTGCTTTTGTGATATACCGACCGCTTTTTAGTGGGTCGGATTTCTTTTTTACGGTACCGTCCTTTTCACTGATGTAATCTGGTATTAAGCCAAAATAATATGAACTGACTTGATTTCCAGACTAAGCGACCATGAGACCTCTAAGGTCTGGGGTGCCTAAAGAAAGATGTGCAATGTTTCAAACTGAAATATAAATTGTCCTGATTAAAAGAAGCGTGTTATAAGGTCCAAAGTTCCACCGGTGCAGCAGGATAATGAATCGTCAACTTCTTACAACATCGGTTTGCACAATATCAGCACAGCAATCAGGGATAAACAGTGCTAGCAGCGCGTTCCATTATAAATGGAAGCATCGTACATCTTATAAAAACCGAAAGGCAACGACGAAGTACTTATGTGACGTTAAAACCCGGGTCTCATATTTCCTAGTGTATTACACTTGGTTGGGCTAAAGCGCCTGTGATTGGGTAACGATAGGCGAGATTTGTGACGAGCAGTTTGGAAAACACAGACGACACCTCAGTTCGTCTACGCAAAAACCAAACGAGCCCCTCAGGCATGGAAAGCTCCCACACCTAAAAAACAGATCCGGCAGTTCCCTGCGACCAACTGAAACGACAAGACGCAATTCGCCCACGTTCACCAGGAAAAGCAGAGCAAAACTCTCACCTGTCAGTCTTACAACCTCCGCTTAGGATGGTTCCTACGTATGTACCTCCACATCAAGATGCTGGCCTTAGTCGCTAAAACAGTGATATTAGAGACCATTTCGGACCAGATAACAGGGGACTTGCGAACAAATTCTGGTTGCGGATAACGCACTAATTGGCGACTAAGGAATCGTCCAATGTCGGGAACGGTCGCAACGCCATCGCTTGTTACGAGGTAGCCAGTCCGTAACATTCCGAAATGCGTTCTTACTCTTCTATTTACAGCTGTGGAACCCGGAGAGGTGATGTCGCATTTCAGAATGCGCTCGGGTCGTCCATCGACGACAAGCGCGATTGCGTGAAAGGTCTGTGTGCGAGTGGCATGTGTGTGGGGTGTGTGTGAAAGCTTGTGTGCGTGCGAACGTGCGTGCGTGCGTGCGCGAGCGTGCGCGTGCGTGCGTGCGTGCGCTTGCGCGTGCGCGTGCGGCGTGCGTGTGTGCGCGTGTGCGTGCACGTTTGCGTGCGCGTACGCGTGCGTGCGTGCATGCGTGCGTGCGCACGCGTGCGTGCGTGCGTGCGTGCTTGCGTGCACGTGCGTGAGAGCAAGCGTGCATGCGTGCGTGCGTGCGCGTGCGTGCGTGCGTGCGGGTGTGCACCTGTTTGTATTCTTATCATTCAGTGCATGTGCATAAAAATGCACAAGTCATTTTGCCACACGTCCCTCAGCCTTCACATCCCGGTGCTCACACCTCCCTTTCCCCCAACTGCCATCTGCGCCTCGAGACACAACACACATCCTTCCCTCTCTCCCTTCCCTCTCTCCCTTTCCTCTCTCCCATTCACCCTCTCCCCTTCCCTCTCTCCCCTTCCCTCTCTCCCCTTCCTCTCTCCCCTTCACCCTCTCCCCTTCCCTCTCTCCCCTTCCCTCTCTCCCTTTCCTCTCTCCCCTTCACCCTCTCCCTTTCCCTCTCTCCCCTTCCTCTCCCTGTTAACTCACCCTCACCCCCTCCCCTACCAACTTTCCTAATGTCTGCAGCAAGGCTTGCTTGCCAGCCAGCCCTCGCCACGCGCTCACCCTGCTAGCTTTTCTGCCCGAACTGAGGTGTATGTAAGCAGGGGAAGGTGAGGAGGGTGTGGGTGTGGGCGATGGTGAGAGAGGGGAGGGGGAGTGGGAGTAGGAGGTGGGGAGGTTGAGTGCTGTGTTTAGGGCCATGAGTGTGTAGAGCCCTTTCCTTCTCCATCTGCCCTCCTTTTTTTTCATTTCCCCTACTATGCCTTCCCATCTCCTGTCCCTTCCCTTCTCATCCCCTCCCATTCTTCTCATTTGCCCTCCCTTCCTTCCCATCTTGCGTGCCAGCCTCCCTTCCTTGCATCACCGCTACCCTCTTTTGCTCTCCCCGTTCCCCCTTTTTACCACCTTTCTCTTCCTTCACATCTCAACTGCCCTTTTTCTCATCCCTGGAGCCTTCCTTCCTCCCGTCACCTCTCCCTTTGTTCCAGTTACAAGCAGGACTAAGCTAGTCCCAGGCGAGCCTGGCGGAACGGAAGGGACAGGCAAGCAGCAGATGCACGGCCAGATGCACGAAGGCGAGATTGGCGCTAGAGGAGAGATGTACCCCGTATCTTCAAGATATTGCACAAGTGTATACATTCAATAAGTTCTTTAGGTCAGTGTTGTGCTCAATTGCTACAAACTAAATGGATGCGTTGAAACCATCTGAGCATCAAGTGTAATATGCTATGAAAGAAGAGACTAGGCGGGTTTGGCAAGCCTACTTTGCCAACAACTGAGTTTTGAATCTACGCACTAGTCACAAAACTAAGGATGAACTGGTTCTTTGTGGCGCCATGCTGGAACAAGCACATCAACAGGGGGGAGAAAGGGGGGAAGCAGAGGGGAGACAAGTGGGAAAACAGAGCTGAGGCATGGGAGGAAAGCGAGGGGAGGCATGGCATGGGGAAAGAAAGGAGGCAGGGAGGAATTGGGGAAGTGATTGCTTGGCGGAATAGTGTGTGAAAGCAGGGGAAAAAGGTGAAAGGGTTGGCGAAGTGTTGGCTTCATGGGAGGAGCTGGTAGCACGGGATGAGAGGTGACAGCAGAGGGGGAAGGGAGGTGGTAGCACGGGATGAGAGGTGACAGCAGAGGGGGAAGGGAGGTGGTAGCACGGGATGAGAGGCGACAGCAGAGGGGGAAGGGAGGTGGTAGCACGGGATGAGAGGTGACAGCAGAGGGGGAAGGGAGGTGGTATCACGGGATGAGAGGTGACAGCAGAGGGGGAAGGGAGGTGGTAGCACGGGATGAGAGGTGACAGCAGAGGGGGAAGGGAGGTGGTATCACGGGATGAGAGGTGACAGCAGAGGGGGAAGGGAGGTGGTAGCACGGGATGAGAGGTGACAGCAGAGGGGGAAGGGAGGTGGTAGCACGGGATGAGAGGTGACAGCAGAGGGGGAAGGGAGGTGGTAGCACGGGATGAGAGGTGACAGCAGAGGGGGAAGGGAGGTGGTATCACGGGATGAGAGGTGACAGCAGAGGGGGAAGGGAGGTGGTAGCAGAAAGAGAAAAGAAGGTGATAGCAGAGGGGGAGGGAAAGGGGGATGAGGGAAGGGAAGGGGGATGGGGGAAGGGAAGGGGGATGGGGGAAGGGAAAGGAGGATGCAGGGAAGGGATGGGGGATGGGTAAAGGGAATGGGGGATGGGGGAAGGGAAAGGAGGGTGTGGGGAAGGGAAAGGGGATGTGGTAAGAGAAGGGGGATGGGGGAAGGGAAGGGGGATGGGGGAAGGGAAGGGGGATAGGGAAAGAGAAGGGGATGGGGAAAGGGTAGGCGGATGGGGAAAGGGAAAGGGGATGCGGGAAGGGAAGGGGGATGGGGAAAGAGAAGGGGGATGGGGAAAGAGAAGGGGGATGGGGAAAGAGAAGGGGGATGGGGAAAGAGAAGGGGGATGGGGAAAGAGAAGGGGGATGGGGAAAGAGAAGGGGGATGGGGGAGGGGAAGGCGGATGGGGTTAGGGAAAGGGGATGTGGGAAGGGAAAGGGGTATGGGGATCGGCGCGTCTCCTACGTTTCCTCCCGCCAGTCCCGTCCCGCTCCGTCGCGTTCCCTCCCGCTCCGTCCCGTCATACATCCCGTCCCATCCCGTCCCATCCCGTCCCATCCCGTCCCGTCATGTCCCGTCCCATCCCGTTCCGTCATGTCCCGTCCCGTCCCGTCCCGTCCCCTCTCGTCTCGTTTCCTTCCCGTCCCGTCCCGTCCCGTCCCGTCCCGTCCTTTCCCGTCGCGTCCCCTCACGTCCCATCAGGTCCCCCCCGTTCCCGTCCCGTCCCGTCGTGTCCAGTAGCGTCCCCTCCTGTCCTCTCCTCTCCTCTCCACTTCTCTCCTCTCCACTCCTCGTTGCATCCCACAGTATCCCTTCCTACCCTTTCCGGCTCCCCTTCACGCACCGTCCCACCCCTCCCCTTCTCGTCGCATCCCGGAGGTCCTTCTCACCCCTTACCTCCCTTCCAGTCCCTTCCCTCCCAACCGTCCCGCCACACCCCTTCGCGACTCTCCCCTTACCCTCGCATCACGCCCATCCCTTTCTCCTCGCTTCCAGCCATGTCGCGTCGCTTCCTGTAATGTCGCGTCGCTGCTTATCGAGTCCTAACCCTCGCCTTTCAGCCGCGTCGCTGCTTATCCAGTCCTAACCCTCGCCTTTCCGTCGCGTCGCTTCCTATCTCGTCCTAACCCTCGCCTTTCCGTCGCGTCGCTTCCTAACTCGTCCTAACTGCTGCCTTTCCGTCGCGTCGCTTCCAATCTCGTCCTAACTGCTGCCTTTCCGTCGCGTCGCTTCCTATCTCGTCCTAACTGCTGCCTTTCCGTCGTGTCCCTTCCGTCCAAATTCGACAGGGGGGAGCGTTACTGCAATACACCTTGGTCCAAATAGAGTGGTGCATCTTATTGCAATAATGAGGACCAGCTCTGGCGATGGACGGACTATACGTGCGTAAAAGCAAATGCAGGCGCGGAGTGACCAAAGATAAAAATAAACAACGACAACGAGAGGTACAAGGTATTGTCACGTTTGACGCTGGAATAAACCTAGGGAAAATAAGATGCTGAAATGAGACTTAGTCGCTAGAGAAATCGGTGCGAGTATGTTTCTCCACCTACAACCTGTCTGGGTTTGCAGTCTCATATTTTTCCAGCTCTGTAATACGCTCGGTTGTGGGCTGTGCGTCCCATTCTCAGTCCGTCGCACATGCAGTTGCCTGTTTCTCGCAAACCCGGCTTGGTAGTCAGGCACCTGCCTCTACCAAACTGTTTGGTTTGCAGCCAATCACACCTGCGCCAAACCAAACGCGAGTGTTTTGCGAGTGATTGTTTGGTTACCCGGTTTCAAGCGTATTACCTTTGGTTGGAAACAAGAAATATGAGACGCGGGTTTTAAGGAGGGCTTCTTCCAGGCTCGAATAACTCATAGCATTACGCACCGTCTCAACCTCCTTCCCACCTTTGTAAACCTTCACAACGGGAACGCTTTGGATGCGGAGAAGCGTGGCCGTCTCGGGATTTTCGTCAATGTCCATCTTGTAACACGCGGCCCTTCCTGAGAATTCCTCAGCGAGGTGATTAATATGGAACTCCAGCTCCCTGCAAGGACCGTGCCATGCAGTGCCGAAGAAGACCAGAACGGGGAGGTCATTCCCCAGAACAAGGCTAGAAAACTCGGCATCCGTCACGGTCGCAGCCATCGCCGATGGCGATTTCAGCCTGATTTGAAAAAAACGGGCGGCGCTACTACCGCCGGTGTGGAGCGATACTAAAAATAGTACACACACTGTGAACGAGAGGGAAGTTTGGAGGCGTAGGAATGAGGCACTCGTATGATGCGCGGATACCCCAACAAAGGCACTTACGGCTCTGCGCCGGCGGGAAATGGTCCGCGAAATCGCGGGAGCGATGCACGTTGCGAGCGAGAGCGAAGCCTTCCCCTCGACGCTCTGACGGAACGAGGTGGTCTTCAGGACTCCTGGATGTGGCCTTGGAGGCCATTGATTGGAGGAACGCCCCGGCCAGCCTGGCTAGGGCGGGCGGGTGCGGGGAAGCGCTGGTAGTATGTGATGCTGTTGCGCAGATGCACAGCTGGAACGCATTGGACTCGAAATCGAAACGCTCCCCAAAATCAGGCCAGCGCTGACGCGATAAATGCCCGGATCCGTCAGCGCTGGAGCGATAGCGCAGGCGGAATCGTGCGGTGAGGGTCGAGTTCAGGCCGCGGCGTTCCCGGCGGCAGTCATCTGTCCATGAAGCAAGCTGCTTTCGGTTGTCAGTAGCCTACGTTCAGTAGGGTGGGGAGGGATAAGGTGCGGTTTCAGGGGAACTGCGGTCAGAAATAATAAGACAGAGCAGGTGAGACGGGCGGAAGGGAGTGAGAGGGATGGTTGAGCCTTGAGCGACGGCCTGCCAGCCACCAGTGGATGGCGATATCATGCGATTCGTGGAGACCCACCACTATCGCAACGTTTTAAAGCCCGCGTCCCAAATTGCGGGACGCGCGCGTCAAGCTTTTAAAACTTGACGAAGTGCAGTGGGCAACCTTTGAAAACTACCGCACTTGCAATTTGGGACTTTCAGGGACAGACCCAACCCCCAGGGCGAAATTTGAGGGAGTGCTGGGTTTGGCGAGATTAACGAAAAAAACGAAATCGGGAGTCACTCGCCTAAACCCAGACCAGAAAAACCCTACGCGTCAACTTTTAAAAGCTTGTGCAATTTGGGCCGCCGGCTTTAACGAAAGTGTACCCAGCCTCTGGTAGATGTCGATAATGAAATTTAATGATTGCATATCTTTTAAATATATACCAAACGAATTTCCAGAGGAGTGCAATTGTGCGTGATAGAATATGAAAAAAAATGGAATGGCAAATCCAGGTGTTATTTCTCTTTCTCCCCGTTCTTGGCATGAAACATAACAATGTGTATTGCTCATGCCTTCTTTTCTTTGCAAATAAGTAAAAAGTATGTACGGATCTTGTAGTTGGGGGGCAATTTGGCAGCGCACCAATGTTGTCCAGTGTGAGTTGATCTGCCATCCATGCATATATACACATCACACACGCACACAGGGGAATTTTTTTGTTATTCTAGCCCAGCCGCCCGAGTACGGATGACAAGCAGGCGAATGCAAATCCCTATGTGCAGAAACTCAAAAGCCTGGCAACACCAGAGAGAGCATTTTGAAGTCAACTGAACAGCACAGAGAACACGAAAGCAGTGCATCAGCAGGCTGTGAGCTGATTTGGCTGGTGAGGTAGGCAGCAAGCTCACCAATGCACCTCACTGGCCACACTTCATGCCACACAACAGCACCGCATGCCACACCTCATGCCACACCTCAGCACAGCATGCCACACCTCAGCACCGCATGCCACACCTCAGCACAGCACGCCACACCTCAGCACCGCATGCCACACCTCAGCAGCTATGGCAACAGCTTCCCTGATGGGCGGCATCTGTAAAGACGAGGTTTACATCCTGGATCACCATGAGCAGTAGCATGCAACACCACAACTGCCAGCTGCTACCCTTCACGCCACATCCCCACCCTCAGCACCACATTCCACACCTCAGCACCTCATTTCACACCTCTGCGGCCATTGCACTGCAGCAGCTTCCCTGGTAGCCACATCAGACGAGGTGCACTCCCCCTGTGACCATGAGCAGCAGCATGCAACACCGCAACCACCATCTGCTACCACTCACACCGCATCCCAAACCTCAGCACCGCATGCTACACTTCAACACCTCAGCAGCACACGTGCACAGCACACCTCCGCGGCCATTGCAGCAGCCTCTCAGAGGGCGGCACCCGTAGAGACGAGGTCCACTCCCTTCGTGTCGATCAGCAGCTGCTGCTGCTCAGTGCGGTGTGGCATGCGGTAGGTATGACTTGTGTTGATCAGCAGCTGCTGCTGCTCAGTGAGAATGCGATACAGATCCCTCTCACCTCTCTGGTGGTAACCCCTCTCACCTCTCTGGTGGTAACCCCTCTCACCTCTCTGGTGGTAACCCCTCTCACCTCTCTGGTGGTAACCCCTCTCACCTCTTTGGTGGTAACCCCTCTCACCTCTCTGGTGGTAACCCCTCTCACCTCTCTGGTAACCCCTCTCACCTCTCTGGTAACCCCTCTCACCTTTCTGGTAAGGCTGAGATGAGGGTTGAAAGAGGGGAGAGGGGGCGAGGGTGCAAGGAATGGGGGGTTAAGAGGCAATGAAGAGAGTTCTTGGTGGTCTGATGTTGCCGTGCTTTGCGGATACCATGCTGGGGAGAGGGAGAAGGGGGGAGGGAGAGGGGGGGAGGGGGGAGGCTGAGGCGATGTAATAAATGTGACCCATGTTGACGTTGCTGCCGTGCTTGGTGGATACCATGCTGGGGAGGGGGGGGGTGAAAAGGGGGGGTAGGTAGAGGATGGGTGCAAGGTGGGGAGGACAGGGGATCAGAAGGGGAGGGGGGGGGGGGGTTCGGGGGGGGGGATGGGATGGTGGGTAGGATGAGGCGAGGATGGGGGAAAGGTCGTGGGTCAGCTGTGGGGCAGCAGGTCGCACCTGCCCTCATCGCTGAACGGCAATCTGTTCATGCCATAACACACCATGCCATATCACACCATGCCATATCACACCATGCCATATCACACCATGCCATATCACACCATGCCATATCACACCATGCCATAACACACCATGCCATATCACACCATGCCATAACACACCATGCCATATCACACCATGCCATATCACACCATGCCATATCACACCATGCCATATCACACCATGCCATATCACACCATGCCATAGCACGCCATGCCACAGCACGATGTCATACCTACCTCCTCTCAATGAAGATGCCCTACCTACCTGCCTTCAATGATGGGAAGCAGGTCGCACTGCACCCACCTGCAGGCCGCACTGCACCCACCTGCAGGCCGCACTGCACCCACCTGCAGGCCGCACTGCACCCACCTGCACGCCCTCCTCACCGCACTGGCATCAGCATGGTGCCGCGTGTCGCTGGAACGCATTCGCATGGTGGTTCCAGCGACAATCACCTCGTTAATGTCGCTGGAATGCACGACCGTGTCAGGTTAATCTCGTTAATGATGACACATGAGCATCATATGCCCCCTGCCTCCGTTGCCTGGCACGTGGGGGAACGAGCATGAGGGAAGCTGAACAACAAGTTATCTTCTCAATCCCAGCCCAGCTCGTTGATGGATCATGAACATATGCCCTCTCATTCCGTTGTGACTGTTGAGTGGACCCAAATGTCAACATTTGATGCTGTCAAAAGTCAACAATTGATGCATCTGTCAAAAGTCAACAATTGATGCATCTGTCAAAAGTCAACAATTGGTGCATATGCCCTCTGACTCCGTTGCCTGTAAATTGTGTGTACGAGGAACAAATATGGGGGAGGGGTAAGGCATGGGAAGGGGAACAAGTGATGAACACTATACTCTCTGCCTCTGTTTCCTGGCGGTTGTAGGAGGAACAAGAAAGGGGAGAGGGGAAGGCGTGGGAGGAGGAAGCGAGCATCTAGACGCGACAGGCGACGGACAGGGGAAGCCTGGGACCCGGGGGAAGGAAACGAGCGAGGGCGAACTTCGGGGCAATGCCGGGAGACCTGGAGACCCGATCAAGTTAGAGAATTTTCATGCTTTGTTTGTATAGAAAACTTGCCGTTTTAAGCTCTCTTGTTACTTTTCGCGCTCCAAAATCCCTCCGTGCTTCACTTTCGCATATAATCCAAGACAGGTCTCTTGAGTAAGTTCAACCCTAACTTATCCTTGCAACTCGAACTCAATTTCATTATAATGCAAATACAGTTCATGATCCCACGCACCGATCAAGACCACTGAGTAACTATAGGGCCTCACTCACGGCGGCGCGATACCATCGAGGATTGTTCTAGCGCTTGCCAGGGCTTCGTTCAGGGTAGGCCCAATGGTGATGTCACGGAATGTCTCAACCACACCTCCATTATGGTATATCTTCAAAAAAGAGGCGTCCAGGTTATTATCATCTCCAAGCTCCGAGATGTGGCTGTTGGACAAATCTATCACGTAAAAATAGGCCCTTTCATAAAAACCGGAGGCGACAGGATTAAGGAATTTTCTGTACGTCTCGGGGTTCACAAATCGGCAGAAGATGATTAAAACGGGTTTGTCGCTCCCGTGGCACATATCGAATTCGCCAGATGTCAAAATCGTGGCCATCGGAATGAGCTACTGTGGAGGGAGCAAGGAGTTAACTCACCGGGAACGTGACGGAAAGTTTAGAAGCTGAAGGATATGGAATGACGAGTAGTCGTAGAAATTATGCATTTATACTATTCGCCCATCGATCACCCAGCAATGTACGCGCAAGTCTCGTAAAGTTGCTCTCTGCTTGCGTTGTGAGTGAGAGCGAGGCGGCCGGACGGACAGGCGGAACGAGGTCGCTTTGAGGAAACTACTTGTGAAGGAAATCCCGCAGCCAGACTCGCGCGGGTGGTGGTGTGGTAGTGCTGGTCCGCGCGTACTGAGCGGGAGCGCATTGGATTTGCGATGCATTTCCATCCATCCCATCCCACAGTCAGGCTAGCGCAAATGTGATAGGGCTAGGATGAATGCATCCATATCGTTTCTGGTGGCAGAGATCTGTCAGTGGTATGTTAGGTTAAGATCTCGGTCGCCTGCGGTTCAGTGATGTGGGTAGTGATCAGGCGCGGTTAGTGATAGGCAGCAGTCAAGAAGGAACGAGCGAATGACGAGGACTGAGAAGGTGGCGCTTGTTAGTGGTGGACGGTGATACTACGCGATCCGCGACAGCCTAACAGTCAAGAGAATTTTTGCAAATCTTCACAGTTCTATAAGCAAGACTGATCTACATGACTGATCAAATATACTTGCATTCTGTGGCCACTTACCCTTCTACCCTACCAGGAAAAGCCCAAAAGAAATGCACAGTGCACCCCCAAACCCATCTAGACGTCACTTGCTTTCCTGGCAGCAGGACTCCTTCGTAACAAATTAGAATGGAACAGAAACTACGGTAATCATGGTAGCCTCAAGGGACGAGATCCTCTGTATGGCCCAAAATAAACATCACACACGCCTAGCCATTGCTCGGGATGAGAAGCAGACGAACGCGAATGCCTTTGCTTAGAAACACAAAAGCACGGCACGACAACACCAGAAAATTTATGTTGAAGTCAACTGAACACCACTCAAAGCAAGAAAGGCGTGCATCAGCAGCAGGCTGTGAGCAGGCCTGGCTGTTGGAGTACGCAGCACACTTACCAACATGCACCGAAGCACCACGTGCCATACCACAGCACCTCATGCCACACCACTGCACCTCATGCCAAACCACAGAACCGCATGCCACACCACAGCACCTCATGCCACACCACAGCACCTCATGCCACACCACAGCACCCCATGCCAAACCACAGCACCGCATGCCACACCTCTGCGGCCATGGCAGCGTCAGTGAATACGAGGTGCACTCCCTTCATGGCCATGAGTAGCAGCATGCAACACTTCGGCACACCTCAGCACACCTCAGCACACCTCAGCACACCTCAGCACACCTCAGCACACCTCAGCACCCTCAGCACTTCTTCACCACAACCACTCTTTTACACAACGCTTACCACACCTCAGTACCGGATGACACGCCTCAGTACAAACACATACCTCTGTGGCCATTACAGCGGCCCCTTGGATGGCAGCATCAGTGAAGGCGAGATGAACTCCCTCCATGACCATGCGCAGCAGCATGCAACACCATGACCAGCATCTGCTACCCATCACAACACATCCCACAACTCAGTACCGCATGGCTCTGTGACAATGCGATACAGATCCTGGTGTGGGGGGGAAGGGCAGGGGGAGGGAGAGGGGGGGAGGTGGGGAGATATGGGAAGGGGGAGAGGAAGTTTTGCGAAATGAATCGCCTTGCCTTGCTGATGAGTGAGAGTGAGTGAGTCAGTAAAATTGGGTGAGTGGGAGGCTTGCCTTGCCGGATCATGTTTGCCTCAAGCCCTGTGAGAATGTGACACAGATCCAGGTGGCGGGAAGAGGGAGAGGGAAAGGGAGAGGGGAGGGGTGGGAGAAACATGCATAGGAGGGGAACGGACAGCCACATGAGAATTTGGTACAGATGCTGGTGGGGGGGAGAAGGGGGTGGAGGGGAGAGGGAAGAAAGAGAAGAACAAGATTCCTGTAATCCTCACCTCTTTGAAATCACCCTCACCTGTGCCAAAGTCCTTTGACCCTATTCGCTCTGCCCTCTCACCGCTCTGGTAAGCCCTCTCACCTCTCTGGTAAGCCCTCTCACCGCTCTGGTAACCCCTCTCACCTCTCTGGTAAGCCCTCTCACCTCTCTAGTAACCCCTCTCACCTCTCTGGAAAGCCCTCTCACCGCTCTGGTAAGCCCTCTCACCTCTCTGGTAATCCCTCTCACCGCACTGGTAAGTCCTCACACCGCTCTAGTAAGCCCCTTCACCCTCTCTCACCACTCTGATAACCCCTCTCACCGCTCTGGTAAGCCCCTTGAGCTCCACGCGGATAGGCAGGCGCCCCTGCAGCAGCTCTGCCAGCATGTCAGAGGGGTGGCACTTGCACGTAGTGAACGCACCTTCACCTTATCTCCTTTTTCGAAGCTCCTCATCTCCCTCACCTCTCAGGTTAGCCCCTTCAGCTGGCACTGGCATTGCCATGCGCTGTACTCACCTTCACCTTATTTCCTTTTAGAAGCTCCTTTTGCCGACCTCTCTCGTAAGCCCCTTGAGCTCCACCCCTGTGTGCAGGCCCGTTGGCAGGCGGTGAAAGCACCTTCAACTTATCTCCTATTAGAGTCCCCTGTCTCTCACCTCTCCCGTAAGCCCCTTGAGTTCTTCCCTTAGTGCAGGCCCCTCTGCAGCTCTGCCAGCATCTCGGATGGGCGGCAGGCAGTGAACACACCTTCACGTGCAGCATGGCGGATGGGCAGTATATCTCTTGCCATACTGGACGACGGCGACAGGGAGTGAAAGCTTGTCTGGCGATGAAGGGAATGTGGCCCGTGCTTGCCATGCATGGTGGATACTAGCTGGGGAGGGTGATTGGGAGGAGGGGGAGAGGGCGGGGCCAATGTGGGGAGGGGGAGAAGGAGGGAGGGGGGAGGCTGAGGCGAGGGTTGAAAGAGGAGAGAGGGGGGAGGGTGCGGGGAAAGGGGGGTCAAGACGCACTGAAGAGAATCTGGTCCGTGTTGATGTTCAGTGCTGGGGAGAGGAGGGGGGGGGGGGGGGGGGGGGGGCGGAAATGGTGGGGGATGGGGGAGAGGATGGGGGCGAAGTGGGGAGGACAGGGATGAGAGAGGGGGGGAGATTCGGGGGAGTGGGATGGGGGGACAATGGGGGGCGAGAATCGGGCCGAGGATTGGGGGAAGGTCGTAGGTCATCTGATGATCCCCACCTTCATTCACCCAGCCATGCCGTAACTCGCCATGCCGTAGCACGAACACCCATGCATAACACGCCATGCCATAACACGCCATGCCATAACACGCCATGCCATAACACGCCATGCCATAACACGCCATGCCATAACACGCCATGCCATAACACGCCATGCCATAACACGCCATGCCATAACACGCCATGCCATAGCATGATCCCATAGCATGATGCCATACCTACCTCGTTTCAATCATGATGCTCTGCCTGCCTTCAATCATGGGCAGCAGGTCGCGCTAAACGCCATCTGCGTGGCACCAGCACCGTCCCGCGCGGCGCGCCTTCTGCGTGGCATCAGCACCGCGCCACATGACGCTGGAATGCACGGTCTTGTCACGCTATGCGCTCTGCCTACATTGTCTGAAGAACGAGGGAGAGGGGAGGGCAGAGAGGGTGGGGAGGGGGAAGGGCAGGGAGGGAGGGGCCATCTCTCCATCTCTGCTTCGGTCAGTGCTGTCCTCGCCTCGCCTCATCTACTATCAACTGCTTCGCTCCCCTTCGTGCAATGCCTACCAACAATAATGACGATCCTACAGAATCACATCACAACACAAGCACTCTAGCTGATTTCATAATCAAGAGCTTCATTAGGGTTCTTAAGGTGTATATGAAGAGCTTTTAACTAGCGTGGGAAATATTGAGTTTCCATCCGATCCACAAGTGCAGCAGGAACTAATACACACTTCACATGCTACCTCGGCCTTCGATTCATTATTCTGCACAATGAATCAGCATACAGTGACCACAAACCCTGACCGATCCCTGAAACTCCAACTCAATTTCATTATAGTGCAAATACAGTCTATCTCACGAACTAAACCCTAAGTCAACTGAGTAATTACTTGTCCCAAGTGTAATGACCCAGAGCTGACCTTCAGGTAGCATTTACAGCCTCACTCAAACGGCGGCGCGATACCATGGAGGCACGTTCTCGCGCTTTCGAGGGCTTCTTGCAGAACCGTCGGATTCTCGAGGTTACGGAATGTCTGAAGCACTTCTCCATCATGGTAGATCTTAATAAAGGGCGGGTTCTTGATGTCCTCTCGCTCAAGCAAGGGAATCTCATAGTGGCTCATTCCCCGGTCGAACTCCATCTTGTAGAAGTAGGCCCTTCCCTTGAAATCCGAGGCGACGTTATCAATGAAGATTTCGAAATATTTTAATTCCCCAGAACGGCAGAAGAAGACTAGGGCAGGATGCTTACCCGAGAGAGCACACCTCTGGAATTCGGCACGCGTTAGTGTCGCGGCCATCAGAATAAGCTAGTACCGCACTAGCTGGTACTATACTAGGAACAAAGATTAAACTCACCGTGAACGTGACGGAAAGTTTGGAGGCTGATGGATACCGAATGAGCAGTAGGCATTGAATTGAGGCATTTGTACTATTCGCCCATCACCCAGCAATGTACGCGAGACGAGAGTCTCGTAACGATGCACTTGCTTGCGTGTGAGAGCGAAGCAACCAGCGGACTTTCAGGCGGAGTGAGGTCGCCGTGAGGAGCCGCTGAAGGAAACACCCCAGCCAGTCTCGCGCGGGTGGTCACCACCGCACGTAGCGAGCGGGATAAGAGATGCGTTCCCGCGGTCAGGCTAGCGCTGCTGAAGTGAAAGGTCTAGGCTGGCAGGGTGGGTGCATCGAGTCGCATTTCCGCCGGCGGTATGGAAGGAATCTAGGATTAGAATCTTGGTCGCCTGCGGTTCAGTGGTGTGGGTAGTGATCAGGTACGGTTGGTGTTAGGCGACGGTCAAGAGATAAGACGGACTGGGTTGAGGACAGTGGGAAGGTTGCCAACAAGTGGTTGGGTGGCGCTTCGCTACTGGTCGACGAATTCAGGACCTGTAGACGTGGCTGGATTCTCGAGTGGGAGAAATTGGAGACTCCGAGAAGCCTCAACATCTTCAGACGGAAGTCACCCAATCCACCAAGTGGTTGTGATGAGGAAGTGCATACATTTTTTTTTTTTTTTTTTTTTCGCCACTAATCAGCTTCGTTACATTTCAACAAGCATACAGACATGCATAAACCCTTCCTAGAAGTGTCTTACTACCTCAAACATCAAAAGACCATCGCCAAAACCCGAAACAAAGTATTGCTTCCTAAGACATCTACAGCCGCATGTCGACCCATGGTGCTCCCATGGTAGGGCACGTCCACCCATGGTGCTCCCTCTCCAAACTCCTGCTCCCCACCCCTTCGCTCCACCCACTCCGCCTCGGACTGACCCAACGTGTATGCCGCCCGCAAAAGAATCACCCGAGCCTGTGCCTTCTGCAAAGCTACCCCTACCGCGGCTGTCAAGGACCCCACCAAGTATTCCGAGAAACCCGAGCTGTTGCCCCTTCCCACACCTTTGTTAAGAGCCACCTTTACTTGAACCTCCCCCTGCTGCCGTAACCACTGTCGAAAGCTTCCCCCCAAGCAACCCCAAGTCTCAAGAATCAACGGGAAGAAACGAACCCCCCTGTGTTGCCGCAGAAAAGGTTGATAATCCGTCGCCTTCCTCTTCTCTCGCTCCTTGGCAGCAAAACCTACTGTCCGCCCACACTGCCCATGCTGCTGCACCGGTAGCGAAACCGGATCCACGACGCTCACCTCGAGCGCATGTTTTTCCCCGTCCATTGGTTTCCTAACCGCCATATCCACTCTCTTCCCCGGCAGAAGCGTGTCATCCTCGATCGTAACCACCCCACCCGATGCCTTGGCTATCTTAGCAACAACGAGCTTCACTGCATCATGAACACGAGACGGGGCGTACTGGTACTTGCACCGAAGAGCATGGTGCGGATCTGACGGGTCCTTGAACTCCACACCGCAAACACACTTGCCAGCAACCAGAAGCTGGTGGACGGGAAGGCCCAAACGGATTGCCGCCGAAATGCCCCACTCCACAGGGGTGAAAGTTGCGTCATCATGCGCTGGAACTGCGGACACCCATGCTGCCGAACCCGGGCCCTGAAGGGAAGTCAAACGGGCCAAGGTAGCATCATCGCGGGCCATGCGCCGCAGAGACTGAAGACTTTCAACCGCCAAGCGACGCTGCTGCGCTGGGAAAAGCTGGAGGGGGGGATTTGTAGTGCAGAGCCCCAAACTCGGCAATTCCTGCCTGACAACAGGCGGGAGCTGGTCAAGGGCCTTGGTAAACCAAGGGTCCAGTAAATCCCCAGCCGGCGGAGTGCGGAAGAACTCACTGAACATCTGCTCCTCGCCCGCTACTCCCAGCTTGACAACAGCACTCGCAGCCTGGCACCACCCACAGACGTAAGAGAGAGGGCTAAGAGTTGCTGCTGAACGAATGCCAAACCCGCCCAAACGAGCCGGGAGGTGCAGCTGCAGGTGAGCCATGCGCGACCTATCAGGACTGAAGTCCCAAGTGTCTGGCGGGAAAAGTTGCTCAAAGCACTCTTCCAAAGCCCCATCCCAATCTCTGAAAGCGTCAAGAACCTCAGGACGAGGGGGAACAGTGCGAGTCAAGAAGAGCGGCCGCGCAGACACGGCAACAGCCAACAAGTGGGAGGCAATCTGGGGGTGGTTCAAAATAGGAAGCCAAGGTAGAGGTGATCGCAGCTGCAAAAGTCTCTCCCTCAAGCGCGCCACCTCCCAATCCTCCTCTCCAATAGGTACCCCCACCACTGTTAACCCCGTCCACGACTGCTGCATTCCCAGCGGAATATCCCCAGACGCTGCCGCCTCCCCTCTTTCCCACATCCTACACTTGTGCGATTGCACCTCCAAGCCCACCCACTCCAGTCGCTCCCGCAAGACATCGTACGCCGCCAACACCCGCTCCCGCGGGCCAAGAACGTAGGTGTCATCAGCGTAGCTCAAGAAAAGAAGATCAGGGAAATCCTTCATTGTAGGCCCCATAACCAACTGCTGCGTGAAAGCAAAAAGGAAGGGACCAAATGGATCCCCCTGTCGCGAACCCCGCTCGGACGCCAGCATCTCGACAAAGGGGCCTGTGCGAAGGTACAGACCGCTGGGCACCCCATAAAAGACGCGTAAGAAAGGGATAAGGCCAGCAAAAGGAGAATCGCGGAGGCCGTCGAACATCACGTGCCGATGGAACGAGTTGAAGGCATTCGCTACATCGATCTGCAGCGCGCACCACGTCGGATGAACCGCTACAGCCGAGCGGAAAGCATGCGCCAGAATCTCCACCCCCGACTTAATCCCCACCCCTAGTTGGTTACAAGGAACGAAGTAGGTCTCCATGTCGGGACGAAGAAGAACGCATAACGCACGCGCCAGAATCCGAGGGAGCACCTCTCCGATAGCCACTGGGCGGACGTCCCCGTTCGGCTTGGATAACCCAACCAAGTTCGAGGCTGCAAGCCAGGGCCGCACCCGCTCAGAAACGCATCCCGAAATCCACTGCCTGAACACCTCCAACAGATGCGGGAGATAGGAAGGCTCCGAGAGAAATGTGTCTCGGAGGTGCTCTGTCATCCATCCTGAGGGGCCTGGTGCTGAGGCTCGCGCTGCGGAATGAATAGCATGCTTGAGGATGTCTTCAGTTAGGTGGGGAAGATGAGAAACGTCTATGCGAAAGTGCTCCACCCACTCAGGAACTGGCACCTCACTGGCCGGGTGCTTTGCTGTCAGCCGGTCTACTGTTAGTTGAGAGGGCTGCGCCAAGTCGCCCGCAGTAAGGCATGCTAGTCCTCGACTCCATTCCCCCACTTGGCACCTCGTGCGACATCGGGCCAAACGGATGGCATCAGCATCTCGCTCAGGTAAGGAGAAGGCAAGAGGTCGCGCCGCCGGAGTCAACGCGGCAGAGGCAGCCTCGAACAGCTGTTGCCATTCCCCTGCCCAGAACTTTCCGAGACGCCCTACTATGGCTGCCCTTCGTCCAAGACCCTCCTTCGCGGGGACTCCCAAAATGAGGCGCGGGAAGGCCAGGAACATCAGCGTCGCCGCCTCATCCCCAGGGGAAGCCTTCAGTCTCTTGAGAATGCAGCACAATGCATCAAGCACCCCCAGTCTTGCCCGTTGCGGGACCCGACGAAGAAGCTCTCCCGACACAGAATGAATACTGAAAAAAGTCTCCCAGTCCCACGAAGGCACCGCCCCCCACACCTCCTCGCCGATATCCCGCGGAGGTACTGGATCTGCCCCGAAGACCTCGCTCAGGTTCGGGGAGGAAGTAAGGGCCTGAGCCCGCCGCTGAGCATCTGCCGCTTTACATGCAACTATGTGGCGGGAGGCCGCACCACCAGGCGGAAATGTGTGAAAGCAGAACTCGCAAGGGACACAAGTTGGAGCAAGTGGAGCCGTGTCAGGAGTGGCTGAATTCTCCGCAACCCCCGGTGTGGGGCTTTCCGGAGGGATCGGGGGGGGCTGCTGCTGCTGCTGCTGCTGACGCTTCTGCCGCTGCTGCTGCCGCTGCCGCACGCCCTGAAGTGCTGCCCTCGCCCCCAGCTGCCCCCCTGCGTGCTGCACGCCCTGAGGTGCTGCAGTCACCCCCTGCTGTCCCGCTGCCTGCTGCACGCCCTGGGGTGCTGCAGTCACTCCCTGCTGTCCCGCTGCCTGCTGCACGCCTTGAGGTGCTGCAATCAGTCCCTGCTGTCCCCCTGCCTGCTGCACGCCCTCAGGTGCTGCAGTCACTCCCTGCTGTCCCGCTGTTTGCTGCATGCCCTGGGGTGCTGCAGTCACTCCCTGCTGTCCCGCTGCCTGCTGCACGCCTTGAGGTGCTGCAATCACTCCCTGCTGTCCCCCTGCCTGCTGCACGCCCTCAGGTGCTGCAGTCACTCCCTGTCGTCCCCCTGCCTGCTGCACGCCCTGGGGTGCTGCAGTCACTCCCTGCTGTCCCCCTGCCTGCTGCACGCCCTCAGGTGCTGCAGTCACTCCCTGTTCCCCTGACAGTGGCCGCCGTCGCACCAGCTGGCCTCCCGGACGTTGGCTCGTAAGCGGCCGCCCCAACTCGCCCTCTGCCTGCTGATCCTGCTGATTGCCCGACCGCTGCTTGCCCTGGCCTCCGCGTCGCCTCCTGCCCTTGCCTCGTGGCAGTTGGTCGTCCACGGGCCCCTGCGCCTGAGCGCCCAGCTCACGCAGCTGCTGCCCTGTCTGATCCGTTTCCCCTATCTGCAGCTCCCCAGGAGGAACAAAAAGATCTTGTTGGTGCTCCCCACTGTGGCCCGAGAGCTGTGACACAGGCACCAAATCTGTCTCCATTTCTTGCTGCTCCACTCGAAGTGGGCTCGCTACACCCATGACTTCCCATGTATCACCCACCCAGGTGCCCAGCTGCTGCCCCTGCTGCTCTCCCGGGTGCTGCTCCTCCAGCCTCAGTTCTTGCTGCTCCCCTGGCTGCATTTCCTGCTGCTCCCCTGGCTGCATTTCCTGCTGCTCCCCTGGCTGCATTTCCTGCTGCTCCCCTGGCTGCATTTCCTGCTGCTCCCCTGGCTGCATTTCCTGCTGCTCCCCTGGCTGCATTTCCTGCTGCTCCCCTGGCTGCATTTCCTGCTGCTCTCCTGGATGCATTTCCTGCTGCTCCCCCCGTTGTATTTCCTGCTGCTCCCCTGGCTGCAGCTCCTGCTGCTCTCCTGACTGCATTTCCTGCCGCTCTCCTGGCTGCATTTCTTGCTGCTCCCCCCGTTGCATTTCCTGCTGCTCCCCTGGCTGCAGCTCCTGCTGCTCCCCAGGCTGCAGTTCCAACTGCTCCCCCATCTGCATTTCCTGCTGCTCTCCTGGCTGCCGTGCCTGCTGCTCCCCCATCTGGATTTCCTGCTGTTCCTCCCCTATCTGCATGTCCTGCTGCTCCCCTGGCTGCCGTTTCTGCTGCTCCCCTGGCTGCCGTTCCTGCTGCTCTCCTGGCTGCATTCCCTGCTGCTCCCTCATTTGCAGTTCCTGCTGCTCCCTAAGCCACAGTTTCTGCTGCTCTCCTGGCTGCCATCCTTGCTGACCTTCGCCCAGCTGCTCATGCTGCCGGGGAGGCAGCCCACCCTGCTGACTCCGCTGTTGTTGCCTTTCAAACTGCTGCTCCTGCAACTCACTTGGCTGCCTTTCCGACTGTTGCTCGTGCTGGCCCGCGAGGCGCCCTCGTTGAGCAGTCCCGCTACGACCACGACCGCGACCTCGACCACGACGGCGCACGCCCTCTTGCCCCGTGCTCGCGGGCTGCACACCTTGTCCTTGCGCGCTCCGAAAGAGAAAAGTATGTTCCACAGCTCCAGCCCATCCCTTTAGAGACGCCCCCGTTCGTGCCTTCGGGAAGGGATTGATGTCTCTAGTCTCCCCTGCAGCCACCGGCAGACCCTGCTGCATCGCCGACAGCGTTTCCGGTTGCTCCCTCCCTGGTTTCCGTCCCTGTTCCCCACGCTCCCAATGCTCCTCCTCGAGTAACTCCCCCTGGACCTTTGTCGGCAGGCCCAGCTGGCCCTCCGCCAGACGGCTCGGCTGCCTCCTCAGCACCTTTTCCGGCAGGCCTGCATCCGTCACCCCCTGCTGCCCACCTGCCCCGCACTCCCGGCCCTCATCCGCCAGCAGGGCCCCCTGCACCTCCTGCCTCCCCGCTGTCGACTCCGCCTGCTCTGCCGTCGCCCACTCTTGCCGACCGCCCGTGCCAGCTACCAACAAACGCCTCAGCTCCTGCCGTCGTGCCAAGCGCGGTCCAAGTGGAGCCCTGCTAGGACCCACTGAAGCTCCAAGAGTGCCGGGCGACTCTGTTGCCGTGGCACCAAGTGGAAGCTCGCGCCGCCGCCTATTATGCAGCTCCTGCAAGTGCCGGCGTTGCGCCTCCCACGCCGCCACTGCCCTGTCCATCCCCGGATCACTTGGTTCCTGCCCACGCCCATCTACCCCTCGGGTGTCTTGTGCATCCACCAGCCCAGAGGATGCGTGTGGGCAATTGGGCGATGCTTGCTGGTCTACCGAGGGCGTGCGTGGGGTAACAGCCGCCTCCCGCTGTTCACCAACCGTGAGTGGTGCCTCAGCCAAAGGAGGCTGAGCATCCCCATTACTAAGCCGCTGCGAAGTTCCTGAGAGCGGCGGTACACCGAGCATGTCGTTGGTGCTCATGGGGGCGGCTGGTGCCTCGCGGTGTCGTTTGCATGGTGTCCCCTCCGAGCAAAGTCGGTCTACCGAGCTCAGGCGCCGGAGACCGAGGAGGAGTGGCTGCGTAGGGCCTACCCAAGGCCGCTTGAGAGTGTTTGCTTGGGGCTGCGCTACATACTCCCGAGCGCTAGTGCCTGAGTGCCTGTCTGGGTCAGCAAGTGCTTCCGCCTCGCCATGCGGTGCCTGCGTAGGTGTGTGCTCGTGCTGCAAGTCGGCCATGCCGTGGATCCTGTAGCGCCTGTCTAGATCCGCGCTCTTCAGTTCCAGCTCCTAGCAACAAGAGAGCCCGGTGTGCCCGTGTGGCGGGGTAGCGAGAAACCGAACACTGCTAATCTTGCTCCAAGCGGGGAAAACCTGGTTGTGCACGTGGTAACGAGGAAACGCACACTGCAGTTCCTGCTCCTAGCGAGGGAAAACCAGCTGCACACTCGGCTACGCGAAGACGTCCACTGCAGATCCTGCTCCTAACGTGAGTCGTGGCGTCAGGGGCGAAAGCAACAACCGTCCACTTGGGTCCCTGCTCCTAGCGTAAATCGCAGCTATGGCGTGAAACCGTCACTTCACTACGCGCTCCTACGTGGAATCGCTGCTGTGGGCAGGGTAGCGTGAAGCAATCGCTGCGCTAACCTGTTGCTCGCGGGATTTGTGGCCGTGGGCGCGTTGGCGTGAAGCTTACGTTTCTCTTCCCTTGCTAACGATAAGGCAGAAATGTGACCTGCCTGTGCTTTCCCTTCTCCCCTACTTGCTCTTCAGGGCCCACTTACCCTACTACCCTACCAAACTAGGCTTAAAGAAATGCACAATGCACCCCCAAAACCATTTACATGTCTTAATATCTTCCCTGACAGCATAACTCCTTCCTAACACATCACCGGATCGCACAGTGGAACAGAAACTACTATGGTAGTCATGGCAGCTTCAAGGGACGAGATCCTTTGTACGGCCCAAAATAAACATCACATTCCTACAACCCCAGCCTTTGCTCTGGATGAGAAGCAGGCGAACGCAAATGCCTTTGCTTAGAAACCCAAAAGCACGGCTCGGCAGCACCAGGGAAAGTGTGTTGAAGTCAACTCAACACCGCACAGAACAAGAAAGCCATGAATCAGCAGCACGCTGTGAGATGGTCTGGCTGGTGAGGTACGCAGAATGCTCACCAACGCAACTCAGCGGCCACAATTCATGCCATACCACAGCACAGCACCTCATGCCATGCCACAACACCTCATGCCACACCACAGCACCTCATGCCACACCACAGCACCTCATGCCACACCACAGCACCTCATGCCACACCACAGCACCTCATGCCACACCACAGCACCTCATGCCACACCACAGCACCTCATGCCACACCACAGCACCTCATGCCACACCACAGCACCTCATGCCACACCAGAACACCTCATGCCACACTTCTGCCGCCATCAGTGAAGACGAGGTGCACTCCCTTCATGGCCATGAGTAGCAGATTGCAACACCTCAGCACACCTCAGCACAACTCAGCACACCCCAGTAGCTTCAGCACCCTCCTGGATGGCAGCACCAGTGAAGACGTGGTGTAGTGCCTCCATAAGTGGCAACACGCACCACCACAACCACCATCTGCTACCCCTCACACCACATACCACACCTCAGCACCGCATGGCACACTTCAGCACCCTAGCACAACACGCGCATACCTCTGCGGCCATTGCAGCTGCATATACGATGGCAGCTCCAGTGAAGACGAAGGGCACTCCCTTCATGACCATCAGCAGCACCGCATGCAACACCACAACCACCATCTGCTACCCCGCATATCGCATCCCAAGCAACATCACCGCATGGCACACCTGGGTGGCAGCATCCGTGAAGGCGAGGTCAACGCCCACTGTGGCCATGAGCAGTTGCTGCTGCCAAATCATGTTCGCCCCGGGCTTTGTGAGAGTGCAATACAAATCCTGGTTGGGGGGGGGAGTGGTGGGTGGGGGAGGTGGGGGCAGAGGAGGGGAAGGGGAGAGAGAGGTTTGGGTGCCGAATCATGTTCTGCTCGGGCTCTGAGAATGTGATACAGACTCCGGTGGGAAGGAAAGATTTAGGAAGAGGGAGGGATGGAAGAAACACGCACATGAGAATGTGGTACAGCTGCTGGTGGTAAAGCGTTATCCAGATCTACGTTTTTTCGCGAATTCCACACAGTTATTCGTGATGAACTGATGAAGGATTGTCGTGGGGTCTGTCCCAGTTGTTCTAGTTGCAGCTCGCCCAGCTATCATGGCTGATCTACGTTTTTAACGAATTCCACATTGTTATTCCTGTTGCCATTCTAGCACACTAAAACGCTTTCTTCTATTGCCACTGCCCTTTCTGCTATGAGTCATGAACACGCAAGAGTACGGACCGGCACAGATGCTGGTGGGGGTGAGAAGGATGGGGTGTGGAGGGGAGAGGATCGAAAAGGATGTGGTGGTACAGATGCTGTTGGGGGTGAGAAAGATATGAAGGAAAGAGGGAAGAAAAAGAGGGGAAAGAAGGTCTTGTAACCCTCACCTCTCTGACGTGCCCTCCTGACCCTCACTTCTCTGGTAACCCCTCTCACCTCTCTGGTAAGCCCTCTCACCTCTCTGGCACGCCCTCTCACCTCTCTGGTAACCCCCTTACCACTCTGATAAGCCCTCTCACCACTCTGTTAACCCCTCTTACCACTCTGCTATTCCCTCCCACCTCTCTGGTAAACTCTCTCACTGTGCTAGTAAGCCCTTCCACCTCTCTAGTAAGCCCTCTATTGAGAGCTGTCTCAAAGATGTCGATAGTGAGGGCACTAGGGTGCTCCCAAAGAAGCGAGTCGAGTGCAGGTGCAAGGCGGTCAGGGAGGCTAGTGACTATGAAGTGAAGTGTTACGTGCATGGGCGCGGAGGCGGCAGCAAGCAAAGCCTTGGTACAAGCAGCACGGTAGCTAGCGTTTAGCGAGCAAAGGTGGGTGACAAGGTCAGCAGTACAGTCAAACGCTCCAAGGCCGGAAATTGGAAACAGCATGAGGAGGCGACCAAGTGAGGCGGAGGAGGGAGTGGAGTAACGGGAGACAATAGCAACGTAACATTCCTTGGCATACCGAACCTGGCTGAAGTGTGCCCCTTCGGCCTCGGGTAGAAGCTGCTGAGGGCAAGACGGATCGCAGTGTCACGAGACTGCCACACCGATAGCACGGGCCTGAGCAAATCGCTCCCGTCTACGGCAGTAGGCACATCAGGCAGGGCAGCAGGGCGCTCCGGTAAAGCCATGTCACCAGAGGTGTGCACCCAGAGCGTGTCACCATTATGGCGCTTGCTCTGGAGGTACTGCTTGGCGTGCAAGAGCCAGTTGGGGATCTCTAGTGCCGTACCCTCCGCATCGAAACGCAGGACCCGAGGGGTCGCCATGGCGAGTGCTCAACTGGACTAGGAGCGAAAGGCTAGGAACGGCCAGAGCTAGAAGCAAGCGAAGCCAGAAAGGCTAGTCTAGGAACGGCCGGGACGAGTAGCGAACAAAGACAAAATGGCTAGACGAGGAACGACCGGAGCTAGGATCGATCAGAGCCAGAACGGCTAGACTAGAAACGTCAGTCACAACGAGGCACGAACCCTAAAATGCACCTGGAGAGTCTACTGTGGCTGCCAGCCACTGCTAGGAACGCCTATGGTAGGAGGCGTGTGGTAGACAGCAGGCACGGGTGGGAGGGTGGGTGATGTCGTTGCGTGTGCGACTACCGCTATGCCCGCTGCTGCAGGTGCATGCACGGCCGTAGTGTGCGTGTAAGGGCACAGTCGCGTGCCACTGCAGCTGCGGGCGTGGTAGGTGCTGCGCGCGCGGCTGCTGGTGCGTGTGCGGCTGCTGGTGTGCGTGCAGCTGCGCGTGTGCGGCTGTGCGCCCGGCTGCGCGTATGCGTGCGCGGCTGCATGCGCGTGGCTGCGCGTGCAGCTGCGTGCGCGTGACTGTGCGTGCAGCTGCGTGCGAGCTGTTGTGCGCGGGGCAGTGCAGCATGCGGGGCAGGACAGCGCACGGGCTGGACAGTGTGTGGGACGGGATAGGACGGGCAGTGCGCGGGACTGGACGGGACGGGCAGCTGGATGGGGCGAGGCGGGCTGGGCAGCGCGCTGCAGTGCAGGGCAGCACGGGGAAGCGTGCGGGGCAGCGCGCGGCTGCTGCGCTAGCGCGTTAGGGTACCGGAGGGACGAAAGACGGCGAGCGCTAGGAGGCCGGAAGGACTAAGCAAGGTCGAACGGCGGGCTAGGCTAGGCTAGGGCCGTAGGAGAACCTTCTCCATGATACCATCTCAAAGTAGAAACAGCGGAATGGTGTGTGGGCAGGAACAAGGCATACGAGTAGCAATCCTAAAAGGTTTGTACTCCCTAGAGTGCTACTCACTGCAGTCTAAGAAACTAATATAACATCTGACATGCTGCTACCCCTGTGTAATTGGCTTGCCTGTATGAATGTGATGTTTATTTTGGCGCATACGGAGGATCCTGTCCCTTACGGCTATCATAGCAGTTTCTGTTCCATTATGAGACTTGGTGGTGTGTTAGGAAAGAGTTGTGGTCACATAGAAGAAATTGTAGCTAGCTGATTCAGATGGTGCATTCTGTATTTTTCTTGGTAGGGTAGACGGGTAAGTAGCCACCGAAGAGAGAGTAGCGGAGAAAGAAGGGAAAGCATGAGCAATTCACATATCTACCCTATTTTTGGCAAGATAAAAGAAAGCAATTGCAGATCGCTGGCCAACCTGTGATGTGATACTAGCTGTCCAGCATATACCTAGGTGCTCTATAAGGGGGGAACAAACTGTTAGCAACTCATTCCACGATACCGGTACCTATTATCCTTCTTAGACACTTATGGAGTGTATTTTATCAGTCATGTAGTCAAGTCTTGCTGATAATGTTGACAGAATCACGAGAGTGTTGGACTGCAACGAATCGCACATTATCAGTGTCGACCAGTAACGAAGCGCCACCGACCCAACCTTTTCACTATCCTCAACCCAGTCACTCTTCGAAGCAACTCTTGACCGTTCTCTATCACTAACCGCACCTTATCACTGCTTAAACCACCAAAACCGCAGGCGACCGAGAACCTAACCCTAACACACCAAATACAGGCACATCGCCCGACGGAAATGGACTCGATGCACTCACTCAGCCAGCTAGGCCGCTCACATCAGCGACGCTAGCCTGACTGCGCGAACGCATCGTGAATCCAATGTACGCGCAGAGCCAGCACTGCCGACCACAGTGGTGACCACCCGCGCAAGGCTGGCCGGGGGAGTTCCTTCAGCGGATTCCTCACAGCGACCTAGCTCCGCTTGAACGTCCGCCTGCTGTCTCGCTCTCACTCGCAAGCAACGTGCATCGTTACGATACGAGACTCTCGCGTACAGTGCTGGGTGATGGGCGAAAAGTACAAATGCCTCACTTCTACGACTACTGCTCATTCGTTATCCATCAGCCTCCAAACTCTCTGTCACGTTCACGGTGAGTTTTTGCGTGAACTCCCTCCACTCCTGCTACTAGCACCAGCTAGTACTGTAGCTCGACCGAGAATACTCATGGTGACGACTACTATAACGGGTGATGACTTCGAGAGGTGCGCTCTCTCGGGTAAGAAACCCGCCTTAGTTTTTTTCTGCCCTTCCGCGGACTCCGGATCGCTCGTTCCCCTTATCACTGCTCTCTCCTCGAAATTTCCGGGAAGGGCCTATTTTTACACGATGGACATTCATCGGAGCAGCCACCTTAACGTTCCCACGTTTGAGAAGGAGGATTTCCAGAACGCGCCGGTTGTGAAGATCTACAGCGATGGAAGCGTGGTTGAGACATTCCGTAACCTCGACATTCCGGAGGCCCTGCAAGAAGCCCTCGAAAGCGAGGTGACTTTTGAGTCGACTCAAAAGTCGCCTTGAGACATTCCGTAACCTCGACAGTCGAGAGGCCCTGCAAGAAGCCCTCGAAAGCGCTAAGAAATGCCTCGATGATATCGCGCCGCCGCCGTTTGAGTGAGGCGCTACCCGTTCAACTGTCTTGGTCAGTTCGTGAGATGGACTGTGTTTGCACTACAATGAAATTGAGTTCGAGTTTCAGGGATCAGTTAGGGTTTGCGGTCACTGTATGCTGATAAATTGTGCAAATTATAGATTGAAGGCTGAGGTAGCATGTGAAGTGTGTATTAGTTCCTGCTGCACTTGTGGAGCGGATGGAAACTCACACACTAGGCTCTGCGTTGCGTTTATACCTGAAAAAAACGATTGAAGCTCTTTAATAGGAAATCAGCTGAGTGCTTGTGTTGTGATCCTATAGGATCGTCATGATTGATGGCATTGCACGAAGGAGAGCGAAGCAGTTGATAGGGGGATGAGGCGAATGCAGCAGTGACAAAGGCTGAGACGGAGAGATGAGATGGCCCCTCCCTCCGTGCCCTTCCCCTTCCCTCCCCCCTCTGCCCTCCTCTCTACCCCGTGCTTCAGGCAACGGAGGCAGAGGGCATACCGTAGTTTTCTTCGCCAGGCTGGAGTGTTCAATTATTGGCAGGATTGTGCATTCCAGCGACATGCGGCATGGTGCTGAGGCCGCGTGACCTGCCGCCCATCACTGGAGGCATGTGGGGCATCATTATTGTAAGAGGTAGGTATGTCATCATGCTATGGATGAACGGATTGCCCATTAGCAAGGCTGGTGCGGCCTTCTTTTGAGAATTCTCAGAGGTAGGTATGTCATCATGCTATGCGGTGTGGCATGCGGTGCTGAGATGTGGCATGCGCTGCTGAGGTGTGGCATGCGATGCTGAGGCATGTGGTGCTGAGGTGTGGCATTCGATGCTGAGGTGTGCCATGCGTGCTGAGGTGTGGCGTGCGGTGCTGTGGTGTGGCATGAGGTGTGGCATGCATTATGGTCGGTGAGGTGTGTTGGTGAGCGTGCTACGGCTCTCACCAGCCAGGCCTGCTGATGCACGGCTTTCTTATTTTGTGTGTTATTCAGTTGACTTCAAAACACTTTCTCTGTTTTTTCCGGGCTGTCCTGTTTTGTATGGTGTTCAGTTGACTTCTGTCTAGCATTTCCGGGCTTTTGGGTTTCTACGCAAAGGCATTTGCATTCGCCTGCTTGTCATCCATAGTGCGGTTGGGCTAAATAAGGTGTTTCTTTTCCTGTGTGTGCGTGTGGATGTGTATGTGTATGTATGTATGGATTGCAGATCAACCACACAATGGACACCATTGGTTCGAGAAGGTTGCACACGGTGAGTCATATTAAGCGAGACTGGGTGAGACTGGGTGAGAGATGACACGCTGTTGGGATGTCTCAGTGCGAGTTTGCATACGGTGAGTGAGACTTGAGTGAGAGGACGGATGGGAAGGGGGTATTGGACGGGGAGGGCTGTACTGTGAGTGGTTCTTCATTGTTAGCTGGGATTTGCATTCCTGCATGCCTGCATGCATGCACTCAAATGAGAATTGAAGCTCCACTACTCCATGCCTGCCTTCTCAAATGAGATTTGGAGCGCCCTTCTGCCAAGACAATTGTTGGAGCGGGGTGGTGGGAGGCCATCAGCTTCCATGCACCAGAGAGAACACTAGCAACATCTCAACCCCCAATCCTCACCTTCCCCATTGCCTCGCATCCCCGTGCATGGTCCTTCCCGTGGCACCATGGCAGGTGTTGGAGCGGGGTGGTGGATGGCATCAGCTTCCATGCGCATGAGAGGAAAGGGGAGAGATGTGTGGTGGATCAAAGAGGTGTGTTGCACGCCCGATCAAGAGGTGTGCTGCCTGGGTGCTGGCTGAAATTTGGGATCTTCTCTGAAACGTTTTGGCAATTTGGTGTGCGTATGCCTGAATATTACTACCATCAACGTCTTGATGATATCCTGATAATTGCTGGTGACGCTAACTTCCATCCTGTCCTTTATTTTCAGCCTCTGTGTCCTTGCCTCCTTTCCTGTTTTCCTTGGCACGACAATAGCCCACGCGCACTCGCAACAGCCAACTCCCTCACTGACCCCATCAAGAGGCCCGCCCGGCTGTTCACACTCGCCTCGCCTCCCCACGCATCCTTCCTCCTTGTCCCATGCCTTCCATTCCCATTAATGCCCACCGCCCTCCCTTCCCAGAAACGGCTTCTAATCACTGACCGTCCTATCGAATGCAATCCCTTCCAAGCCCGGTCCCTTCCCTTCCTTTCCCCTCCCTCCACGCCCATCCTCTTCCCTTCCTTTCCCCTCCCTCCATGCCCATCCTCTTCCCTTCCTTTCCCCTCCCTCCATGCCCACCCTCTTCCCTTCCTTTCCCCTCCCTCCACGCACATCCTCTTCCCTTCCTTTCCCCTCCCTCCACGCCCATCCTCTTCCCTTCCTTTCCCCTCCCTCCACGCCCGTTCCCTTCCGTTCCCTTCCCTTCTTCCCAAGTCCCCTCCCAACCCCCTCCAATCGTTACATTCACTTCCATTCGCTTCCCTTGTTGACACTGTCAACGAGAGTGATGTTAGGCCCCGTCCTCGCTTGGGCGGAGCCAACCTTGTGGTCGGATGTGCGGGGGTTGCAGCCGACCTGCAGCAGTGGGCACGGGGGCCACTGCAAGGGCGCCGAGCTGGAGGGCGCCTGGCTGGAGGGCGCCGAGCTGGAGGACGCCGCCCTGGACGCCTGGTTGGCGTCCTGGACGCCTGGACGGCGTCCTGGGAAGCTGGACGCCGACCTGGGCGTCGGTACGACTTCCCGGGCACCTGGTCGATGTTGTGGGCGCCTGCACGGCGTCCTGGGGGCCAAGACGCCGACCTGGGCGTCCTGGGAGGACAGACGCCGACCTGGGCGTCTGGTCGGCGTCCTGGGAGGCTGGACGCCGCTCTGGAGGTCTGCACGGCGTCCTGGGCGTCTGGACGCCGACCTGGGGGTTCGGGCGGTGTCCTGGGCACCTAGACGCCGGACTGGAGACGCCGGGCATGCGTGGCCGGCTACGGACTACCCTGGTCGACCAGGTGTGGTAGCCCGGTTGACCGGGATACCCGGGCGACGTGCGCGAGTGTCGCCGGGGTGGAGTCTGCGAGGCCGACCTCGGGGGTGGTATCCCGAGGTCGACGTGGCTGGTGGGCGCAGTTGCTGGCGTGGAGTCTGCCAGGCGTCTGCGCTGTGCACGTGACAAAGACGAGTGCACCAACCAGCTGCGCGCACCTGCGAAGCAGGTGCACCGTTGTCCTGCGGGTGCAACGCTGTGCAGCTGACTTGCTGCAGCGTTGGCACACCGTGGACTTGCAATGTTGGCGCACCGCTACTCTGCAACGCTGGAGCGGTGCGAGCGCTGCTGCGCTGGAGCGCGGTCGACCATGCTGCGCTGGAGGTCGACCAGCAGCCTAGCTAGCTCTGATGTAGTCAGTGTTCCCAACGTTGTTGCTATCTTTGTTGTGAACTTTTGCTAGTGGAACTCTTGCCAAATTCCCCCGTGAACCAGCAAGTAGTGCAAGCACGAGTAAACGACTAAGGAACGAATGAACGCAGAGATCACACGAGCACCCGTGCCTAGCCCGCAGCCTAGCTCCCGTTACTGCAGTTATCTCCGCATGGTGCGGTGAGCGTGGACGGCACACGACTTACCTTTCAGTCAGGTCGACGTAGAGGTCACTTACCTAAGTTGTTCGTAGGCCGGCAGCCGTGCAGTCTCTAGCTTGCGCGTAGGTGACGCCAAGGTGATGGAGACCCTAGAGGCACAGCTGGAGGACGCAAGGACTCGCCATGGGGCCCAGGAGTACGGAACGATTCCCTGGGCGGTTGTGGAGGCTGGCATTCGCACCATGTGGGTGACGTTGCACCCTTCTCAACCTTCGTCTCCTCGACCGGTGAACACAGAGGGCGGCGTCGACGTGGGCGTCAACGCCGGCGGTGGCCAAGTCGGCAGCAGTGCGGGAGGCACGTCGAGGCAGAGAGGTGTGATACACGCCGATGAAGTCGGCGACGTTCAGGCGCGAGGAATGCGGTCGAGGGCGGCTGCAGGCACCTCGCAGGGCGACGTCGGAGGTCGACGAAGCGGTTTGTCGCCGATGTCGGCGACCCAGGTGACGGCGGGCGGGATTGCACCGAGCTACGGCTACTTCAAGTTTACGCCGGACAGGATCTTGGTCACCCCGCCGCTCGTTGGTCGACCCGACATTCTTACCTGGAAGGAAGCCATCGAGCCCCAGCTGGAGATGGCCGGGCTGCTCGGCTTCGCCCGAGGAACCATGGCGACACCGGACGACCCCGACCTGCGAGCAGAGTTTCGCGCCGTACAGCTGTTGACCTTCACGGTCATCTCGCGGTGCTGCTCGCCGGGCGTGCAGATCGCATTGAAGTGGTGTCGGGAGTACCTCGACGCCGGCCACCAGGCGTGGCACTTCATCGAGTCGACCTACCAAGTCACCGACGACCTCTTCATCGCCCAGCTTGAGGGGCAGCTGACGCACCTGCGTATGGGCGACGAGGAGAATGCTACCGACTACTGCAACCGAGCCCGGCGAATCCTCGCCACCATAAGGATGGCCGGCGCCCAGTACTCGACGGCGTCGTACATCACCCACGTGATGCAGGGACTCTCGAGCAGCTACAACCTCCTGAAGCGGCTGTCAATGGCGCCGAGCACGAGGACGACGCTCAACGAGGACAACTTGACCTCGTACATCCTGCAGGACGAGGCAATGCAGGAGGCCGAGCGGTCCCAGGAGCTCTTGGCGCAGGCAAACTTCGTCGCCCCGGCGAGGCAAGGAGGCCCACCTGGGCAGCGTGGGCAGCCTGGCGGAGGTGGTAGCAGCGGGTGGAAGCCGAGCAAGGACGCCGACAAGAAGAAGTCGGCTAAGGATAGCGGTCGTGGAAGAGGAGGCCGACGCCGGGAATGCTGGCTGTGCGGCGACCCCGATCACCTCTCCTTCGAGTGCCCCGACCGAAGTGACTCCGACGACGACGACGCCAAGGGAGGCCGCGGGAGGTTTGGCAGTCGTCGTCCTCGTCGAGGAGGAAACCAGCCGTGCAAGGAGAAGCAGTCGAACAAGTCGACCTCGGCGAAGGACGCCGACTCCTCTGCTGGCGGCAAGGGGCGAGACGACAAGGCGGCGTCGTGCTCGCTGGTCGGCGTTGTGGAGCCGACCGTCTCGCTGGCGCCAGAGGCCGGTGAGGACTTCCAGGCGGTGGCGGCAGCTGTGCAGGCGAACCCGGCGGTGGTCCTGCTCGACAGCGGTTGCTCGCACCACCTGATGGGGACGAAGGAGGCCTTCGTCGACCTGCAGCCGAGCGGCTCCATCAAGCACGTGCGCGGCTTCAATGGGGCGCTGCAGGACGTTCAGGGCCGCGGCACTGTCGCTCTGCAAGGGGAGGCCGGGAAGCAGGTACTCATCCCCGACGTGCTGTACGTGCCCGGCGTCCAGGCAAACCTGCTTTCAGCCGGCCAGCTGAAGGAGCACGGCGTGAAGCTGCAGGAGGACGGCGACGGGATGCTGCTCGTCTCAGCAGCGGGAGAGGTGCTCGGCCGGGCAACGTACACCGGGCGTGTACTCTGCACCGACCTGCGCCCTTGCTCGGCCAAGCAGACGACGCCCACCACGGAGGTAGTGGCCCTGCGGGCGATCGTCTCGGGGACGAAGGCAACGCCGGACAAACTGCACGCGAGGCTTGCGCACGTCGGCATGGACACCATCCGGAGCTCGGCGAAGCACGAGGTCGCCACCGGGCTGGACCTCAAGTCGGCGTCTGGCGCCGACTTACCGTGTGTTTCGTGCGTCGGCGGGAAGCTGGCGCGACACACCTTCCCCGACAAAGGCTCCGACGCCGACGAATTGCTGGCCGTCGTGCACATTGACCTGTGCGGGCCGTTTCGTGTTGCTGCCAAGGATGGTAGCCTGTACTTCTTGCTGCTAAAGGACCGCAAGGCCCGCTACCTGTGGGTGAGGCCGGTCGCCAAGAAGTCGGACGCCTTGCAGGAGTTCGTGCAGTGGCTGGCGGTGGCTGAGCGGCAGACGAAGAAGTCGGTGTTGATGTTGCGCTCTGACCGGGGAGGGGAGTTCCTCGGGAAGCAGTTCACCGACTTCGTGAACGGCAAGGGGATCGTCCACGACCTGACATGCCCGTACACCCCGCAGCAGAACGGCATGGCGGAGCGGGAGATGAGGACGGTGGTGGAGTCGGTGCGCACGATGCTGCTGCACATGGGCGTGCAACACCACTGGTGGCACCTAGCTCTGCGGCAGGCCGTCTGGGTCCGCAACTGTCTTGAGAGGTCGGCGCTGCCGCCGGGGACGACGCCGTACCAGCTGCTCACCTGGAAGAAGCCCGACTTGTCGCTGGCGCGGGTGTGGGGCTGCATGGCGCAGTTCTTGGTCCCTAAGCAGCAGCGTGGTGGGAAGCTGAAGCCGAAGGCCAGGTGGGGCCTTCACCTCGGCGTGTCTGAGGAGAGCAAGGGCTGGGAGCTCCTCGACATCGCCGACCAGCGGGTGGTCACCACGTCGGACGTGGTGTTCTATGAGAGCATGTCGCTGGAAGTGTGGAAGTCGGCGCACGGGCGGGCGCCCGGCCGGATGCCGGTCCACTCGCCCACGGACACCTCGACGGCGACGCTGCCTCTGCTCGCCGAGGTCGGTGAGCTTGCTGGTGAGGACGCCGAGGACGTCCCCACACCCTGCCCTTCACCTGCCCCTCCCCCTGTTGCCAACTTGCATGGGCTAACCCCGACGTCGGCCTCCGGTGATGAGGGGAGAAGTGGGGCGTCACCTGTGGCACCGGCTCCAAGCATCGCCGGTGGCCGACGTGATGCCGTGAAAGTCGGCGTGGGAGCGAAGCTGACGCCGACTGGGAGGCAGCAGGTTGTGCAGCCGACTTTGGTGAAGCCGGTGAAGGAGACGCCGCCTGCAGAACAGCAGCTGACAGGGGAGCAGGCAGCAGCGACGCCGACCAAGGAGCAGTCAGCGACCGGGCAGTCGGCAGGGGAGCCGACCACAGGGGAGAAGTCGGCTGGGACGCCGACTGAGGTGCAGCAGGACGCCGAGGACAGCGACGACGGCGACGATGAAGGGGACGCCGAGGAGGTTCAGCCGGGACCACGGCGTACAGGCCGACTTCGGAGGCCGCCTGACTTCTTCGTCCCCGCTGCCTTCACCACGGTGTACGACGTGGACGATGATGACGACGACCTGCTGTACGACGACGCCGAGGAGGATGAGGAGTTTCCGGAGCTCGACCCCGACATGCTGGCCGACCCCGAGCACCGTTGGGACATCTCAACGATGACGGTGAAGGAGGCGTTGGCGAGCTGGAAGAGCCCGGCGGTGAAGGCCGCCATGGAAGAGGAGATCCGCAGCCTCATCAACATGGGCACGTGGGAGCTGGTCGAACGCCCGCCGGGAGTGAACATTATGAAGAACCGGTGGGTGTTGACGACGAAGTACCACATCGACGACACCGTCGAGCGAGAGAAGGCGAGGCTGGTCGTGAAGGGCTTCACGCAGGTGTA